ATACTATATGTACCTTTTCCTCTTTCTTTGATCTCTTTGGGATATAGATCTAATAGTGGTTTCATTGAGTCAAACGGTATGCACACTGTGTGATGATCAAAGTCAACTATGATAGACTTACTATATTTCACCATATAATTGTCATACTCTGTATGTGTGTGTGTGTTTCAGTCCAAAAATTTGTCTATAACCTTTCTTTGAGTAATCATTACATGGTATAATTCTGTTCATCAAATTCTATTTTGTCAGGCTGGTTGACAGGCCGGCCACTTAAAAGGTAAACAGAGTAAGAACATATTCACCAGTGGCATATGGTTACATATTTATCTCTTGCACATTGAGAGCTGCAAGTCTGGAATTCTTAGCCCACACACATTGTAGGAATTGTCAGTATATTTCCAAAAGCTGATTTTCATGGTTTGTTTGGAACACTGCAGTACGAACAGTATTGTCACTCAACCCAATGAAGAGCTGTAGGCATGCATCCTAATCTTGCACCAAAGACAATTTAGTAATAAATGACTTTTAAGTAATACCAGCAAAATTTTTTAAAACTTCACATAATGGTCGCACCCTACTGTTTTGCAAATAATTTGGCATAAAATCTGAGATGATTGTGCAGTGAAATAGGGTAGCTCTTCTCAGCAATACAGTGATCCGAGACGATTCTTTTTCCCCCAAGGCAATTGAGACTAAGTGACTTGCTAGGGTCATAAAACTAGTTAAGTATAAAGTATCTGAGACCAGATTTGAACTCAAATCCTCCTGACTCCAGGGCTGGTGCTCTATCCACTATACCATCTAGCTGCTTTTTTATCTAAGACAATTCTAAAAGACTCATGATAGAAAAAGCTATCTGCATCCAGAGAAAGAACTATGGAGTCTGAATGCGGATTGAAGCACACTATTTTCTCGCTCTTTTTTGTTTTTTCTTTCTCATGGTTTTCCCCTTTTGTTCTGATTCTTCTTTCACAACATGACTAATGTGGAAATATGTTTAATGTGATTGCACGTGTATAACCTACATCAAATTGTTTGCCATCTTGGGGAGGGAAGGAAGGGAGAAAAATTTGGAACTCAAAATCTTATAAAAAATGAATGTTGACAACTATTTTTACATGTAATTGGAAAAAATGAAATACTGTTTACAAAAGAAAAAAGCAAAGAGTACGCACAGTTTAGTAACTTTGGGGCATAGTTTAAAATTTCTTGGAAAAGATTTCCACCCAGTTTTGCCCAAGAATAATTTTTCTGCCTCTGAGAAACAGATCAAGTGGATTCATACTTCAATCCCTAAGAGTACCCAAAGAGAGAGGGTCCAGAACACCTGACTGGTTTAGAATGGTGCTCTTAAGTGAGAGTATCCATGGAGATGTGCAATTAGTTGGGACAAGAGTCTGGGTCTGAGTCCTGGTTCTGCCACCATCAAGCTGTGTAACCTTATTCAGTTTATTCATCCTCTCTGAGCTATAGTTTCTTTATAAAATCTGATCTAAAAGGGATGAAAGGTTCCTTCCAGCTCCAATGTTCTGTGAAAAGTTTGGGTGGGTTTGGTTTGCTTTTTTTATTATTTATTTTTAGTTTTTAACATTCACTTCCATAAGATTTTGAGTTCCAAATTTTCTCCCTATCTCATCCCTCCCCCCACCTCAAGATGGCATGCATTCTGAATACCCCTCCTTTCTATCTCCCTACACCCTTCTCTTATCCCTTTCCTCTTCTATTTTCCTGTAGGGAAGGATAGATTTCTATTTCCCATTGCCTATTTATCTTATTTCCCAGTTGCATGTGAAAACAATTTTTAACATTTGTTTTCAAAACTTTGGGTTCCAAATTTTCTCCCTTCCTCCCTCCCCACCCACCCTCATTGAGAAGGCAAGAAACTCTATAAAGGTTATACATGTGCACTCATGCAAAACACTTTCATAGTAGTCATGCTGCGGAAAACTAACTATATTTCCCTTCATCCTATCCTGCCCCCTGTTTATTCTATTCTCTCTTTTGACCCTGTCCCTCCTCAGAAGTTTTTGCTTCTGCTTACCCCCTACCCCAATCTGTCCTCACCTTTATCATCCGTCCCTCTCTTATCCTCTCCCCCCCTATTTTCCTTTAGGGTAAGATAGATTTCCATACCCAATTGAATGTGTATGGTATTTCCTCCTTAAGCCAAATCTGATGAGAATAAGATTCATTCATTCCCTCTCACCTTCTCCCACTTCCCTTTCTCTGTAAAAGCCTTTTCTTGTCTGTTTTATGTGAGATAATTTACCCCATTCTACCTCTCCCTTTCTCCTTCTGCCAATGTAATCCTCTCTCACCCCTTAATTTTATTCTCCAGATATCACTCCATCATCTTCAAATCATCCTGTGCCCTCTGTCTATCTGTCTGTCTGTCTATCTATCTATCTATCTATCTATCTATCTATCTATCTACATATAATTTTTTTTCCTTCCAACTACCCTAATACTGACAAAGGTCTCATGAGTTACAAATATCATCTTTCCATGTAGGAATGTAAATAGTTCAACCTTAATAAGTCCCTTATGATTTCTCTTTCCTGTTTACCTCTTCATGCTTCTCTTGAGTCTTGTATTTGAAAGTAAAATTTTCTATTCAGCTCTGATCTTTTTATCAAGAATGCTTGAAAGTTCTCTATTTCACTGAATGTCCATTTTTTCCACTGAAGGATTCCCTCTCCACCACCACTACAAGCTCCACCATGCCAGCACTCCTCCTCACCCCAGGATCACTACTCAGAACTGTGACCCAGATCCAAGCATGGGCAAAGCAAGAGATTTCCTGCCTTAGCACCAGCAAAGAGATCTCTGCAATCCCCCTCTGATTAGCCACTCAATTCCCCCACAGTTTGTGGGCCATGCTCAGGAAGCAGCTGCTTCCCCGCAGCTGTGCCGGGACTGGGGCTGGGACCAAACTTCCCTCTCACCCCAGTCACAGACTTTTCCTACTGACCTTCTAAGTTGTCTATGGCATTTGTGGGTTGAGAAGTCTGGAAACTACAATAACTGCCTGTAATTCAGTCCCCTGAGACCTGCTCCAAGTTTGCTGAGGCCTGGTCTTATCCTACGTGCCCACCCTGAACTGAGTTCCTCTTCCACAGTAGACCTTTCCAATCAACCATCCAGGTTGTCTTGGGCTGGAAATTTGTTTCACTTTGTATTTTTGTGGGTTCTGCTGCTCTAGAATTTGTTTAGAGCTATTTTTTACAGATATTTGGGGGTTTGGGGGAAGAGTTTGGGGGAGAACTCAAGCAAGTCACTGCTTTTACTCCACCATGTTGGCTCCGCCCCTTGTTTGCTTTTAAAAACAAATAAGCTCTTTCCTCCCTGTTGTTGGTTGCAGAACAAGCTAAGAGGAGAGATGAAATAGCTTTGAGTTCACAACATGCAAGCATTTCAAATGTGTAAAAATGACATGAAGGCAGGAAAGGAAGAAGAGAAACGTTGACAGGAATAATACCTAAAAATCCCAGACCTAGTGCTATGTAATTGGCATCTTTTGCTCTCCTTCTCTTATGACTACATTCCCATTGCAGCAACCATGGTTCTTCCATCCCTGTTGTTGTTCAGTAAGTAGTGTCTGACTCTTTGTGAATAGACCCAGCTGCTTCAGTGGGGACCCAACGGGACAGTTCCAGTTGGGCAATGCAGCTCCCTCTCTCCTTCCTTCCTTCTTCACTCCCTCCCTTCCTTTCTTCCTTCCTTCTTTCTTTCCCTCCCTCCCTTTCTTTCTCATTCTCTCCCTCCCTTACCTGTGGGTGCTCTGCTCAAAGGAATATAAATTTTGATGGCTAAAACCTAACAAGCTATCTTGGGATTTAGGTTTTGGGGCTAGATTTCTTTCTTAATGACCATGCCTTAAACCCAATTCACTCTGGCTCTCACTGATCAGCCAACAATAGATCCCAGTACAAGCTTCTCTTAGCGGTCATTGTTTGGGCCCCAATGGCTCAGAGCGAATGTAAATAGTAATTGTTTCTGTTTTAGCCAGAAACCCTGAAGTTCTCCCTCTCCTGGATTGGTTTTTGTTTTGTTGTTGTTGTTGTTCTTTGTTTGTTTGTTTGTTTGTTTTATTAGGTAAGAAGGACCATTCCTTGACTCATTTCTTATCTACCCTTTATCACTGAATGGGCATTGCTCAGTCAAAGTGAGAACTCAGAAAGAATTTAGCTTAAAAAGGCCAAGGTCTCCCACTGCATCAGGGGCCAACTCTAGTTGCCCTGATCTATATCTTGCCACTGGACCCAGATGACTCTGGAGGAGAAAGTGAGACTGGTGACTTTGCACAGCCCTCCTTCACTGTAATCCAATTCACTTGCATGTCATGGCATCACCTCCTTGACGTCATGGTCCTCTTCAAGAAGAAGAACAAACAGTGGCAACACCACAATCTGTTCAGCCTTTTCCTAACTGTCTTGCTGCTTGTTCTTTGTTCTCAAGGAGGACTTAAACTATAGTTAATTGCCTATACTATATGTCATCTGGGCAGCTAGGTGGCCCAGTGGATAGAATAGGGCCTAGAGTCAGGAAGACTCATCTTCCTGAGTTCAAATATGGACTCAGACACTTACTAGTTGTGTGACTCTGGGCAAGTCACTTCACCCTGTTTACTTCACTTTCCTCATCTGTAAAATGAACTGGAGAAGGAAATGGCAAACCACTCCAGTATCTTTGCCAAGAAAATGCCAAAAGAGGTCATGAAAAGTTAGATGTGATTGAAAAAAACCAACAAAAATTGAATGGGATGCCTCAGGAGGTAGTGAGTTTCCTTTCTCCTGAGGCCTTCTTGTAAAAATTAATGGAAATGTAGTCAGGGAGATTGAAAAGGGAATTTCCTTTCAGGTATGGTTTGAAATAGAGGTAATTTCTAACTCAGAGATTCTGGGAATGTTTCTATGATTTCTGCTGGCAAGAAACACAGCCAGAGACCAGGTCTTGTGAAATCCCAGAGATATACTACCTGTTATCTCTTTCTATTTCAGATCTTTATATCTAGTCCTAAGGAGTGGTTCCATGGCAAATCTGATAACCTTCATTTGCTTTTTAATGTTACTAACCCTAACATACAGCCAAACACCAACACAGGAGGGTGAGTAATGAGGTTGTGACAGTGATTTTTAAATGTTTTTATTTATCCTTGAAGTTTTGAAGTATTTCCTTCTTCTGAGAACCTGGAAATGTCTTTCTACCTTGATTCAGTATTATCATTCTAGCATCAAACTTGCAGATGTTTGTGATTATTAGATATTATTAGTTATCCCTCACTGGGATAACTAAGTGTTGTTAAATTATTGTTAGTTATTCCTCTCTGGGATGACTAGAAAGTTGATATAATGATACAATTGTGTGCCGGTCAGGCCGTGCACTCTCCTTCTAACAGGAGCAGGCTACCAGGGTCATACTCACCAGTCCTCGGAGCCCACCCGGATAAACATAGAAACGAGCCGATTGGGAGGTGCAAGCACTCGAACTTTATTCAGAGACCATCACAGCAAGGCCAAGCAGGAAAGCAAGAGCAGGAGCAAGAGAGCGAGCTCCGATCCCTACCACCCCATATGCCTTCCTAGCCCCTCCTCCTCAGCCCACCTACTAGTGATTGGTTGTAGGATCAGATACCGGAAGGAGATGTCTGGGGTTAGCGCTGCACAAAGGGAGAGGACGTGACAAAGGAAGCTAGGCCCCGGATACCGGAAGGAGACGTCTGGGGTTAGCGCTGCACCTAGGGAGAGGACTAGACAAAGGGAGCCCATTCTCTGCCATCCCACTCCCACGTGGCACAGCCCCCTGCCTCAGGAGCACATGCTCCAGTTACTTCCCCGTATCCAGTTCCTATCCCAGTTCCACAGCTCCACATGGCACAGCCCCCTGCCTCGGGAGCGTAAGCTCCGGTTACTTCCTAATATCTTGTCCCTGCCCCATCTTGCCACAACCTCCACGTGGCACGTAGCCAACATCAGACAATCCCTCACACAATTGTTTCATTGGGCAGTGGGAAGAATGCTGGATTTGAATGACATGGGTTCAGATCCCAGCTATTCCACTTACTACTTCTGCGACCTTGGGTAAGTCACTGAACTTCTCTGAGTCTCAATTTCCCTATTTGTAAAATTAGGGAGGGCTGATTAGGTTAATTAAGATCCCTTTTAGTTCAAAATCTGAGATCTTATGATCTTGGCTCTCAGGGGTAGGAGGCCAAAGGACTAGATTTGTGCTAATAAGAACAAAGTCCATCATCTTCAAGACAGGACTTGAACTATGACAAATGCTGATTGTGTGTCACTATCTCTACCACTTTGAAATTTTGAAGCTGTCTTAAGAGAAAAGGGGAAAAGAGAGTAGTAGCTGTCTTTTTTTTAAATAAATCTTATTGATATATTTTATTTTTACACTGCTTAAATTCTCTCCCTATTCCTTCACCTCTCCTAGTGAAATCTCCAATATAATGAAGAATTTTTTTTAAAAGAAAAAAAAGAGGGGCAGCTAGGTGGCATGGTGGATAGAGCACTGGCCCTGAAGTCAGGAGGACCTGAGTTCAAATCCGGCCTCAGACCAAACACTACTAGCTATGTGACCTTGGGCAAGTCACTTAACCCCAACTGTCTCACTTAAAAAAAAAAAAGAAATATCAATTAACACAGTGAAAAAAATATAAAAATATGTGCAATGTTCCACACCCATTTCACATCTCTGTGAAAGAGTAAAGGGTGGTATCTTCTCATATCTCTTCTTTGGTGCTCACTTATTCTTTATAATAAGAATAAATGGAGCAGGGAAGTAGTGCAGTATATAGAGCATTGGGCTTGGAATTAGGAAGATTCATCTTCATGAGTTCAAAGTCAGCCAGTCAGACACTTACTAGCTATGTGACCTTGGGCGAAATCACTTGACCTTGTTTTCCTCAGTTCCTCATCTGTAAAATGAGCTGGAGAAGGCAATGGCAAACCATTCCAGTATCTTTGTCAAGAAAGTCCCAAATAGGGTCATGAAGAGTCAGACACAACTGAATATATTCTTTATAATTTTTGCAATATTCATTTTCTTATTATTTTATGGTGGTTGTTATTATGTTGTTGTAGTCATTGTGTATACTGTTTTCCTGGCTCTGCTTATTTCACTTTGCATCAGTTCATGTAATCCTTCCCTCGTTTCTCAGTATTTATCATTTGACAGATTTGTCACTTCTTATAGCACAGTAATATTCTATTATATTCATGTACCACAACTAGTTTAGCCATTACTACTTAATCTATTAGTATTTGCTTTATTTCCATTTCTTTGCTATGACAAAAACTGCAATTGATTATTTCAAATGATCTATACTGCTGCATTTCTAAATATATAGAGAGGTGAAAGTATTATGTATGAGTTTATATGCATGGTGGCTTACTTAAAATGAGCCCTACTTTGAACTACATATTTTAATCCATTGGAATTCATTTTTCCCATTGATGCTGAAATGAACATAATCTCTAAGATTATTTTTAGTGCTTTCAAACTGTAACTATTGATAATATACATGTGTGCCATTATATATAATCCTGTGTATTGTATGTATGTTGTCTTACCTCAAATATTAGTGTGTAAGTCTAGGGCAGGGACTTGGACTCCTTTTTAAGTCCCAATAATGCTTGCTCCAATATATGAACTCATTAAATATAACAGCCTGGTTCCCATACTCGTACTTTTCCCCAAATGTTAATATGACAGAACTGCAGACAGGCTGATCTGTTCCACAGCATAATATTATAGAAAGACATTTGAGTCCAGGCTCAATCTCTTGCTATCTCTGTAAACTTGGGCAGAGCATCTGACCTCACTGGACCTCAGTTTTATCAATTATAAAATGAGGGAACTGAAATAGATCTCTAAAATCTTTTTTAATCCTTTTTAGCTCTTACATTGTAAGGAAATGAAAAATGTAATCATTTTTCTCATCATATCCACAATCCTATTGATCTACTTCTCACAAATTATATATTCAAAATGGCATAACCAAATCATGGCCATCGTCACTTGCGTGACTTAAGGATAATTTCACTGACAATTCAGTTAATATAATAGCTCCATCAATAGAGCCACCCCTGATCAAAAGGAAACTGTAATAATAGTAAGGTATTAACCATCATAGGACGTTCAAACTGCATTTCGAGTATTATTCTGAGTGTGCTTCTATTTACTGATGGATCCATGATCTAATCAATATTCCCATTATCTATATAGATATTAGTCCATCCAAGCATGTAATTCTTATCTATGCCTTTTTATACTTGTTGGGACACTTTCCACAGCCCCATCCCCACCCCTTTGGTGCATTCAAGGACATTCTCTTTTTGATCCCAGGGAACCATGTGGATACTTTGGGGGCTGACTTCTGTCCATGTATGACTCATTGCTGGGAGTTCCCTTATTAGCTGCTGAGCTAGAAGAGTTGAGGACTTTTCTATATACTAACTAACCTGTGTTATTCATTTATCTCTCTGTATATTCCTTGAGCATTCTCACCTGTAGACCTTTCCTCATACTATGCCTTATGCATGAAATTTGACCTTTCAGCTCAAACTTTAAAGTCTTCCCCATCTCATCCAGTATCACTTCCTCCATGAATCTTTCTTTGAAACTCCTTCCACCAATCAGAAATGAAATGTCTTCCCATGAACTTCACATAACATTTTGTTCAACCTTAGAAAATCATTACTATTTCACATTTTAATTATTTGTGTATGTTTTATCAGCCCTGGTAGATTCAAGCTAAATGAGGGCAGAAATTTTATACCTTCCTCCAGAGTACTCTTCAAATAGCATGTACTTTACTAATACTGGTTGAATTGTATTTATGTTATTGTTGAAAACCTTCAGCTCCAAATTCGCCAATTAAAAACATAACTTTGGATATGAAGACAAGGTGGCTGAGATGGACCAATGTGAAGAGTGTGAATAACATCAAATGTTCTGTTAAAGTGCTCTCACAATTACAATACACCATACAGGTAAAAATAATTTTATATATATGTGCAAATATATAAAAGTCACATGTGAATATATACATCTATATCTATGTATGCAAATAAAAATAAAAACACATATATATGTGTATCATACAAATATATTCCTTTTTTCCAGTCACTCAGTGAGCAGGAGAAAAGATTATTTCAAAGAATTAATAGGCAATACTAGCATATTCACACCTATGCATTTTTGCACTTGAAATAAGTACTACAAACTGCCCCCTGAGACAAGTGTCACCAAAGGCACCCCTAGTGGTGGGGGAGGGGCAAAATACCAACCAAAGACTTAGGGACACTCTAAGGCTGCTGAGATGATACTCACCCCCATTAAAGGAAGTGGGCTATTTGGTAGCTTCTTAGTTTAAATAATTATTTTTGACATCTGTGTGTTAAAGTTAATTGTTTCTTCCACTTGGCATCTCAGAGCATAAATATTGGGTGAGGTACATGTAGACTAGTAACTTTTATAAGAAACAGAGAGACTGGGGTAAGGAAACTAAAAGAAGGCTTGAAGCCAACCCTGATACCTCCACACAAAAATAATAGCTAGCATTTGTATAACACTTTAAGTTTTGCAGAACATTTTATATATGTCGCTTGATTGTCACAACAACCCTGTCCCATTTGGCAAAGGAGGAAACTGAGAGACAGAAAGGTTAAATGACTTGGCTAGAGTTTCACAGCTAATAAGTATCTGAGGCAAGGTTTGAACTGACTCTCAGGTCTTCCTGACTCCAAGCCCACCACTCTATCCATTGATCATTTAGTTGCCTCCAAAAAGAAGAAAAAAAAGGGAAAAAAAGCTAGAGTTAAAAGGTTTCTCAAGGATAATCTATCTAATCTGGCTGCCTCGTTTTACAAAGAAGGCAATTGAGGCTCCAGAGAAGGGAAATAATCACAAAATATGGCTCATTTAACACATTAAAATTGGAACTGAGGAAAAATAGAATCATAGGGAGGCCAAATCTCATGGATTCATATATTGGGGGAGCTGAAAGGGAATCTTAAATGCCATTTTGTCCAGCCTCCTCACTTAACAGAGGAAGAAAAAAAAGAATCAGAATTAGTGTCAGAGAAAAGAATAGAACCCAGATCTTCTGATTGTTCATCTAAAGGTCTTTCAACAAGTTTGTTGAAATATGGCCTTCTTTAGGGGGATGGACCCTTGATCTCAAGACTGGGAAGCAGTAACTGAATAGATAGGGCATCCCTGGATCCTTCCAGGTACAGCCTGGCCCTGAACTCAGCACCCAGGTTCCACTCATCAGGAAAATCTGAGCATCTTGAAAGATCAAAGCTTCCATGGAATACACAGACCCCTGGGATGATAAGCAGAAGTAGCCCAGAAGGCATGGCCCTAGAGAAGGGCTAGGGAACTAGATTCCTCCCCTGTCTTGCCCTAATTGAAGTATCCCCTACCCCTGACTCCCCTCACTGGTGGTTTTACATCATCAGCTCACCACACTTTCAACCTGGTATTATTGCCTATTGGAATATGAGAAACCAGGAAGGGAGGTTTCCAGAGAATAGATAACTAAACATACTTCCCTCCTCAATGCAGAGAGGCGATAAACTACATCAGTGGCATTTTTTATACTTTGGCAGATGCTGTATCACTGTGTTGAATGTTTTTGTTTATTTTTTTCCCGGTTTTTTTTTTCCCAGTCTGGATAGGGGAGTCAAAATGACTGTCAGGTAAAGAAGAAGAAAAGAGGTTATCAGTAAAACTTTTTTAAAAAACAGGCAAAACTAAGGGGCAGTTAGGTGGCACAATGGATAAAGCACTGGCCCTGAAGTCAGGAGGACCTGAGTTCAAATCCAAACTCAGACCAAACACTTGACACATACTATCTGTGTGACCCTGGGCAAGTCACTTAACCCCAATTGCCTAAAAAATAAAAATAAAAAAAAATAAAAACAGGCAAAACTTCCTAGGAAAAGGTCTCCATTATTGAGAAGGGAAAATCATCCCCAAGAAATTGTGGCCCTTGTGTAGGGGCTAAATTCCTTATGTCACTTTATCCCAGTTTGGGATCTCCCTCTCTGAGTTCCAGTTTTTAAATTCAACTGGTTCCCAACTACCTTCAGGTCCTCAAAGGAAGCACAGCTGCTGTTCAGCTCAGAGAGACAAGGGTCACAGTCCCCGAAGCCACCACCATCCTCCAGTAATTAAATGTGGGCCTTCTGAGGACATTGAGGGCATCTCCTTAAATTACAGTCACTGCCTAGACAATTCCATTTTAGGCTACTCATTCACCTAAAATTAGGAAAAATAAACATAAAAGAAATGGAGGCTCCATGTGTTCATAGACTATGGTAGTGGGGTAAGAATAGGCAGCTTCTTTTACCAACCTACCCCACCCCCTGCAGCAACTCACAGCACTTCTTGCCTCCATCACCACCAGTGAGGAAAAAGGTACTAAGAGATCATGGGTTTTCCCTTCTGTATTTAAACTCAATTTCTGTTCAAATGTGAGCTAGCTTTAGAGTCAGGAAGACTCCAAGTTTAAGTCCTGACTCTTATGTATACTGGCTCGGTGATCCTGGTCAAGTTAGTTGATTTTTCAGTGCCTCAAGGCAACTCACTAAGGCTAAAAATTGCAGATTAGGTACTCATCTACACTTGTAGAGGAAGTCCCTCGCTGGGAGCTCCCTACACCAATGAAATCATGAGTTCCTCCTCCCTCCACCCCTCCCCAAAAAAAGTTACACACATATATACATATATTATAATTACAAGTAAATACATGAAAAGGCATCAAATGCTTACTGTGTGCAAAGCATAGCTCTAAGAAAAGCATGACAGTCCCTGCTCTCAGGAAGTTCTAATTCTAATTGGGGAAATATCACATGTAGGTTTAGGTTGTAAGCCAAATGGAAAGGTCCAAAGATTTTTAGGGTACAGAAGTAAAACAAATCGTAATCCATCTTTTGAAAAATCTTTTCTTTTTTAATATTTTTTTTGGGGGGTGAGGCAATTGGGGTTAAGTGACTTGCCCAGGGTCACACGGCTAGTAAGTTTCAAGTGTCTGAGGCCAAATTTGAACTCAGGTACTCCTGACTCTAAGGCCAGAGCTCTATCTACTGTGCCACCTAGCTGCCCCTGAAACATCATTTCCGTTAACAAAATCATAATCTGTCTCTGATGTTAAACCATTTGACAGTGCCAGGGACTTTGATAGTGAGAACTTACTTTTCCAAGTCATAAGTAGTTATAATTGATGTTTCTATGTTATACTATGATTGAAAAAGTACTTTATACACAATCAAACCATTTGATCTTGACAATAGCCCTATGCAGTAGACAGTGCAAAGTATTATTTCCATTTTTCCATGAGAAAATTAAAGTGTAAAGATGTTAAGTAGTAGAGCACAGGAAGACCTGAGTTCAAATCTGGCCTGGACACTTATTAGCTGTGTAACCCTAGACAAGTCACTTACTTCTGTTTGTCTCAGTTTCCTTGACTGTGAAATGGGGATAATAAAAGCACTTACTCTGCAGTGTTGTAAGGACCAAATAAGATAATATTTGTGACAAGTGCTTGGTACATTGCCTGGCACATAGTAAGAGTTATAGAAATGCTTGTTTTCTTACCCTTCCCTTTTCCAGTATCGTATACCTCATAAGTGACTATGCCTAGACCAGATTTTTGACTCTCAAGTCCAATGACCTTTCCAGTACAATATGGAGAAGAATTCTGGGAAGCAAGGTGACTTAGTTTTCAACAGTTATAGAGTTATAGCATATCACAAGTAGACAGGACCTTAGAGGGTATTCAGTCTAATTTCCTTATTTTATTTCTCCTGTTTCATGATCAATTAGCTAATGATTGTGTGATTTCTTGTTTTTGTTTTTAGGCAAGTGAAAACAAGGAGTGCAGACTAAGTTTCTTCTATCCTTGGTGCCAAGGGGTAGACCTTGAAATTGAGGGATTTGCTGGGGAAAGATTTTTAGAAACATTACACTTTCCCCGAAGAGGTGATGTAGCATCATGTTTAACATATTTTTTTGATTTCTCATCACCCTCAAAACTAAATTTTGTGTGCACACAAATACGCAAATAGATTTTCTTTCATTTTTATCTTCCTAGGAAAAGAAGGGACCACTGAAGAAAATTTATCCTGCCAGGTTCATGATGCAAATCTCATGGACTGCAAATGGACAGTGAGAGAAACTCCAAGAGATATCCAGTATCAATTTTTTTACTCACAATACCCAAAGTAGGTTTTGGTCTTAAAGGGAAACCCCTTTATAATTCTGTCATACTAAAAGGTTTTTGGATCTTTCATAGAAATACTTTGCTTTTTCAAGGACTTTTGTGGATAAAGAATGTCCAGAATACAAGACAGATTCTGAAGGAAGACATGTTGGATGTCATTTTGATAACCTCTCAGGATTCAGAGACCCTGGAGAATATCACTTCCTAGTAACTGGAACCAGCAGTGGAAGGGAAGTCCAGTGTAGTGATAAGTACATTAAACTAAGTAAAATTGGTAAGAATAATTTATGTTTGTTACACATTCATGCTAGTGAGACATGGGTCATGTTTTTATTTGTAGTGATTGAATGAATGGTTTGGCTCTATAGCATCTCATAAAATGTACCTCAAGTGCCTCTTCTACCGGCCTGTTCTTCCTACAACTGAGATACTATATGTCTTCCTCATCGATACAATGTTTCTTTTTTTATTTAACAAAGTCTGTATTGATAGTTTTTACTTCTACATCACCTTGACTACCAAATATCTTTTCCCCTCCCCCTTGCCAAAGAACCATCTCCTGTACCAAAGATTTTAAAAGACAGGGGGAAAAAGTAGTTCAGCAAAAACTAACCAACACGACTAATGTTGTTGTTCAGTAGTGTCAGTCCTGTCCAACTCCTGTGATCCCATTTGGGGTTTTCTTGGCAAAGATACTGGAGCATTTCCTTCTCCAGCTCATTTCACAAATGAGGAAACTGAGGCAAGCAGGGTTACATGACTTGCCAAGGTCACCCGGCTAGGAAGAGTCTGAGGTCAAATTTGAACTAAGGGAAATGAGTCTTCCAACTCCAGTCCTGGCGCTCTATCCACTGCACCATCTAGCTGCCCAATACAACTAACAGATCATCTGTTTTGGACAGTACATTCAGTATTCCACACCCATAGTTTCTTACCTCTGCAAATTTGGGAAAGAAGTTCATTTTCCTTTATCTTTTTCAGAGATGAATATGGTCGTTATAATTGCATGATGTTGCTGTTGTTGTTTCCATTTACATTGTTGTAGTTAGTGGGCATATTACTGATTCTGCTTCCTTCACTTGATGTCACTTCCATTCATATACATCTTTCATGTGTATTCTTCGTAGTCTTATGGTTCAGTAATATTCCATTTCATTCATGCACCAGTATAACCATTCCCCAATCAGTGAGTATCTACTTCGTTTCCAGCACTTTACTACTACAAAAGGTACTGCTATAAATAATTTGGTGTATGTGGGACTTTTTTTTCCATCTTGGGGTATATGTGTACCAGTGGGACACTTTTTAGCAGGGAGGAAAATGGCAAAAAGCATGAAGGATAAAGCTGAAAACATGAGAAAATCAGTCAGTCAACAGGCATTTTTTTTATTATTAATTTATTTTTAGTTTTCAGCATTCATTTCCACAAGATTTTGAGTTTCAAATTTTCTCCCCATCTCATCCCTCCCCCACCCCAAGACAGTGTGCATTCTGAATACCCCTTCCCCCAATCTGCTCTCCTTTCTATCACCCCCTCCTTCTGTTATCCCCTTCCCCTTCTATTTTCCTGTAGGGAAGGATAGATTTCTATACCCCGTTGCCTGTATCTTATTTCCCAGTTACATGTAAAAATAACTTTTAACATTTGTTTTTAAAACTTTGGGTTCCAAATTCTCTCCCTTCCTCCTTCCCCATCCACCCTCACTGAGAAGGCAATCAACTCGATACAGGTTATACATGTGTAGTCATGCAAAACACTTCTATAATAGTCATGTTGTGAAAAACTAACTATATTTCCCTTCATCCTATTCTGTCCCCCCTACCCCTCCCCCATTTATTCTATTTTCTCCTTTGACCCTGTCCCTCCTCAAAAGTATTTGCTTCTGTTTACCCCCTCCCCCAATCTGCCCTCCCTTCTATCATCTCCCCTTCTCTTATCCTTTTCCCCCATTTTTCCATAGGATAAGATAGATAACAAGAATTTATTTTTAAGTACCTTCTAGATGCCAGGCACTTCTTCCACCAATGCAAATTAGCAATTCATTTCTAACTTGTAGTCTTTGAATCTCTTTAGGGAGATTAGAAAGTTCCCTGGGGCACTGACAGGTTAAATAACTTGCCTGTGGTCACACTGAGGGGCAGCTAGGTGTAGGAAATAGAGACCAGGTCTGGAGACTGGAAGGTCTGAATTCAAATTTGACCTTAGGCATTTGCTAGCTGTGTGAACCTGGGCAAGTCACTTAACCCCTATTTGCTTCAGTTTCTCATCTGTAAAATAGGGACACATTGAAGAAGGAAATGGTAAACCACTCCACTATCTTTGCCAAGAAAACCCTGTGGACACAACTGAACAACAACAATGGTCACATCACTAGAGAATAAGGTCCTAGAAACAACCCCAAACATTTATTAAGCACCTAGTACACAACACTAGGTACTGAAGACACAAAGAAAAAAAAAACAGCCCCTACCCTCAAGGAGTTAAGTGTTGGAAATATAAAGAAAGGCTTAAAACTGTCCCTGCTCTTAAGTTGTTCACAGTCTAGTGGGGAAGACTACATGAAAACAACTATGTACAAACAAGATACATACAGGATAAATTGGAAATAATAAACAGAAGGAAGGGCATATCATTAGGAAAGACTAAGAAAGACTCAAAGCCTTCTGTTTCCAGTCTTCTTACATCTTACTCCCCACCTCTATGGACTCTGGAATCCAATAACACTGGTCTTCTTCCTGTTCTTCATGTAAGACACTCTATCTCCTACTTCTATGCATTTTCCGTGACTGTTCCCATGCCTGGAATTCTACTAATCTACTAATCCACCTCTAGGGTTCCCTAGCTTTCTTCAAGTCACAGCTGAAATCCCATCATCTAAAAGAATTCTTTCCCAATTTCCTTTAATGGTAGGGTCTTTCCTTTAATGAAATAAAGGACTTTCAAGCATTCCTGATGAAAAGACCAGGGCTTAAACAAAAAAAAAAAAAGTAGGAAAGAAAGAAAGAAAAGACCAGAGCTGAGTAGAAAATTTGACATACAAACATAGGACTCAAAAGTAGCATAAAAAGATAAACATGAGTGAGAAATCATAAGGGACTAAACAAGATTAAATTGTTTGCATTCTTACACGTGGAGATGATAAATGTAACCCCTCAGAACCGTATCATCACAAAGGGTCTTAAAGTCTAACTAGAACGAGAGCCCAGATGTAATTTGGTTATGTTTGAATGCTCTCAAAAGAAGAATGGAAGGGTAAAGAAGAGAAATACACTGGGAGAGGAGAAAAGGGAGAGGAAAATAGGGAAAAATCATCTCACATAGATAGAGTGCACAAAAGAAGAGTTTATACAGGAAAGGGAACACTTGGAAGGTGCAGGAGACACTTGAATCTCACTCTCATCTGAATCAGTTAAAGGAGGGAAGAATACACATAGAAATAGTTGAGTACAGAAATTCATCTTATCCAACAGAGTTAAGAAGGAAAGGAGTTCAGGGGGTGGAAATAAGAGAGAGGGTATATTATGGGAGGCAGTAATCAGAAGAAAAACAGAAAATGTTCTACTTTTCAAGTACAGAAATCCAGATATGATTTAGCTAGATTTTAGTAAAGAATTTGTCAAAGTCACACAATATGTGAGATAGATTGTGGTACAATATGTTATATTCAGAGCTGATTGAATGGCCAGAACCAAAGAATAGTCAAGTTCATTGTTTAATGTCAAATTGGAAGTAGATTTCCAGTGTAGCACTCTAGGTATCTGTACTTGACCTGGTTCTATTTAATATGTTTACCCATGACTTAGGTAAAATGGTGCACTGGAGCCAGCTACTAACTGGCTCGTGAGAAAGATTGTTAAATGTTTAGTGTGCATATTTACACTTCAGAAAACAGCAAATGCTGAAAGATAGAATCATTCAATCATTTCCTGGTGAAATCGAGACTTGATTTATTATTTTGTTGTCTAGGCTTAAGAAAGTAAGGGAGGAATTCTTAATAACTTTTAATAATACAGTTTAAACTTAAAACTATACATCACCCTCCCCTCCCAAGAGGGCTGGTTGTTAAACATTTATAAGCACACCCTTTCATAAATGGCTTATTCATATAATTTGTGGGTGACCCAAAGCTGGGAGGAATATTTTTTTCCCTTGAGCTGGAAGGGACCTAGATCTTATTTTTAATTAATTAATTATTTTATTTTCAGTTTTCAACATTCACTTTTATAAGATTTTGAATTCTAAATTTTCCCCCCTTTCTTCTCCCCCTTCCCTAAGACTGTATGCAATCTAATATAGGCTATACATATACAATCACATCAAACATATTTCCACATTAGTCATGTTGTGAAAGAAGAATCAGAACAAAAGGGAAAAATCATGAGAAAGAAAAAAACAAAAAAGAGAGAGGAAACAGTATGCTTCGATCTGCTTTCAGATTCCATAGTTCTTTCTCTGGATGTGGATAGCATTTTTCATCATGAGTCTTTTGGAATTGTCTTAGATCATTGTATTTATGCACACTGTATTTATGCATTGTATTTATGTACATTCTACCCCAAGAATCATAGCTACTATGAAAAGAAGATAGATGACATGTATAGCCTGCATCAAGTGGCTTGCTTTCTCAATGAGGGTGGGTGGGGAGGGAAGAAGGGAGAAAATTTCAAACCCAAAGTTTTAAAAACAAATGTTAAAAATTGTTTTCACATGCAGCTGGGAAATAAGATATACAGGCAATGGGATGCAGAAATCTATCCTTCCCTATAAGAAAATAGAAGGGGAAGTGATAAGAGAAGGGGAGGTGATAGAAAGGAGGACAGATTAGGAGAAGGCATATTCAGAATGCACATTGTCTTTGGGTAGGGGTAGGGTCAAGATGGTGAGAAAATTTGGAACTCAAAATCTTGTGGAAGTCAATGTTGAAAACTAAAAGTAAATAACTTAAAAAAAAGAAGATAGATGGCAAATAGAGCTGGGGGGTAAAACTAGGCAACAGAGAGGAAGAGATATGGGATTTTGCCTGAGAAAATGATCTGAGGGTTTTCATGGACTGAAATGAGAAGAAAGTTTGATATAACAGTCAGAAAGCTAAAAGAATCATAAAATGCTTTGAGATGCATAATATCTAGGACTAGAGAGATGATAGTTCAGTTGAATTCCACCCTGGTTAGACCAATCTACATTTGTGTTTAATTTGGAGCATCATGTTTTAGGAAAGATATTCAATAGCTGGATAGCATCTAGAGAAGAGTGACTAGGATAGTGCAGGATCTTGAAAATGAAACCGTATGAAAATCAGTTAAAGGAATTGGGGATGTTTAGTTGAGAGAAAAGAAGAATTGGCTACCCAAGACATAATAGCTGTCTTTGAGTATTCAAAATGCTAGAACATTAGAGGGAATTATTCTGCTTGGTTGGAACAAGAATTAGTTGGTCAGAATTAGGAGCAATGGATGAAGGCTTCAAAGAGATTAATTTGAGGGAAAAAATATGTACAATTACAGTCCTCCCTCATATCACTGGACTTTGGAGTTAAATGATATCAATCTGTATAGATGGAGTGATGGTGTTTCACTGTTCCTTAATGATGAGAACACCTCAAGCTAAATGGCTTGGTGAAATGTTGAATCCCCCTGCCAGTTCAGTTCAACAAGCATTTTTTAACAACTACTATGTGTATGGCGCTTTCCTAAGGCTGAAAATTTTTATTGGACCTGCACTCCCAATGAGGAAACTCCTTCACTAATACAAATTAGCAATATATATGTAACCTGTAGTCTTAGAAAGTTCCTTAAGGCACTGAAAAATTAAATCTTTTGTTTACAGTCACATCTCTAGAGTGAGGTGGTAGAATCACCAGGCATTTATTAAGCACCTGCTATATGCTAGGCACAACACTATTTATTGGAATCACAAAGACAAAAACAAAATAGCTCCTGCCGTAAGGAATTTAGGTTCTATTATTGGTTATACAAAATGAACACAGATAAGTAAAGTCAAAATGGATAGAAAGTAATTTTGGTGTGGGGGACAGCACTCATCACTGAGGAGATCAGGGAAGGCCCCACATAGAAGGTGACACCTGAGTTGAGCCTTGAAAGAAGCTAGAAATTCTAAGAGGCAGAAGTGAAGAGGGAAAGCACTCCAAACTTGGCAGTCATACATAATGTTGGTCAAAGTAAATTTTCTGGACCTCAGTTTCCTCATGTGTCAGATGAGGTGGTTAGACCAGAATGACTTCTGTCATAGAATTTGTCCAAGAATTTGGAACTCAAAGTTTTAAAAATAAATATTAAAAATTGTTTTTACATGTAACTGAGGAAAAATAAAATACTAAATAAATACAAAAATAAATAAATATATTTTTTTAAAGTGCTCTTCTCTTAATGCTGAAACATTAGAGGAAGATCAGACATGTTTTGCCTGGCCTGAGAGAGAACTAGGAGTAGTAGATGAAAAATTAAAAAAGGCAAATTAAGGATTGAGATAAGGTAAAACTTCCTAATAATTAAGTTTAGCTGAAAGTGGAATGGGCCTTCTCAATAGCTGGTGGGGTGGTTTTCTCATACTGGAAGTCTTAAGCAGGTGCAATATTTTGTAGATCAGTTCAAGGATTTTGTAAAAGAGAATCTTGTTCAGCTAAACATTAGAGTGATTGGTCTCTGAAGTCCCTTCTATGATTCTATGATTCTGGTAGCCAGATAATCAGGTTTTATCTTGGAATTAGAAATAGTCTTTGGCAATACAATGATCCAAGATGATTCCAAAAGACTTGTGATGGAAAATGCTAACCATATCCAAAGAAAGAGCTATGGAGTCTGAATGTAGACTGAAGCATACTATTTTCACTTTTTTGTTTTTTTTTTTCTTTCTTATGGTTTTTCTCTTTCATTCTGATTCTTCTTTCACAACATGACTAATGTAGAAATATTTACATGATTGTACATGTATAACCCATATCACATTGTTTGCTGTCTTGGGGAGAATGGAAGGGAGGGGGGAGGGAGGGGAGGAAGAAAAATTTGGAACTCAAAATTTAAAAAAATAAATGTTGAAAACTATCTTTACATGTAATTGAAAAAAAATAAAATACTATTAAGGGGGAAGGAAAGAAATAGTCTGTGGAAAATATAGATAGTTGCAGGGCAGCTAGGTGGCACAGTGGATAGAGCACCAGCCCTGAAGTCAGGAGGACCTGAGTTCAAATCTGACCTCAGACCAAACATTTGACACTTACTAGCTGTGTGACCCTGGGCAAGTCACTTAACCTCAATTGCCTTAAAAAAAAAAATACAGATAGTTGTGAGTAGAGACTGTGAATCCAAGAAGGAGGAAAACTTTTGATATTCTACATCCAAAAGATATGGGTTTTATTCCAACTAAGTTGGGTTTTATAACAATTGGTTAAGTGAGAGGAGAGAATGGCAAAAAATGATTTGTCCAAAGAAGAGTGGGACAGGTTAAGTTTCATGTTGAGAGCTTCCAGAGATGGGTTTGGTGACTCAGAATAATATTGCAGGTCTGGGTTTGTCAGTGCATAGAAATCTCTATCATCATTTGTTGTCATCATGCATGACGTACACTAGTCAGATAAGGCATCTTAATCACAGGTGAGAGAGGGATAAGGAAAAAAACTTCAATAGAAACAGCCAGAGTAGCTGGTAATATAAGGTATAATTACTTAATACCATGAACATTCTATCCACTTTTTTTGCTTTTTTTTTTGCTTTTTTTTTTTTAACCCAGCATGCCCATGATTGGTACATTAGGAAAGCACAACAGAGTAGATTGTTAATTTCAAGTATGTGACCATTCTCTCTCACCTCTACCCTACTATACTTGTATGTTTTCTGAAACTGACAAACATCAACAAATATGGGCACTAAAACAGTTTCCCTGTTCATTTTGAATTCTTGGAATACTTGGTTTCCTTCAATTCAGTTTTTTTCTTTGTTTGTTTTGTTTTTAGGTAATCAGGGTTAAGTGACTTGCCCAGGGTCACAGTCAGTGTCTGAGGCCAGATTTTAATTCAGGCGCTCCTGACTCCAGGGCCAGTGCTCTATCCACTGTACCACCTAGCTGCCCCTGCTTCAACTCATTTGTAAAGTCACCTTCTGCAGGAGGCATTTTCCATTCGGCCAGTTGCTAATGCCTTCCCATTTAAGAGGAATAATAAGATAACTTCTCTCTGTCTGTCTCTCCCCCTCCCTCCTTGTGTGTGTGTGTGTGTGTGTGTGTGTGTGTGTGTGTGTGTGTGTGGTCTCTATTAGAATGTAAGCTTCTTGATGGCAGGGACTTTTGTAGTTTTTTCTATTTGCAGTGTTTAGCACAATGCCTGGAATGTAATAAGTACTTAATAAATGTATGTTGATTGATTCCTGGTTCTGTCTACTTCATTCTGCATTGGTTCATATAACTCTTTCCATGCTTCTCTACATTCTTCATGTTATTATTTTTTTTTATTTTTTGCAGCACAGGATTATATTCATGTGCCACAATTTATTTATACATCTCCCCAACTGATAGGCACCTACAGGATAGGCACTTAATAAGACTAGCCTACCATCCTGGCAGAGCCAGCCAAACCCAGGCTGGGTTTTACATGTACAACAGCATATCCTAGGATCAGGACAAATGGCTGAAACCTAGGATGTACTTTGTTTTGAATTGTACCTTTCTCCATGGAATCTAAAAAACAGTTTTGTGTGTGTTTGCATCCCACCCACTGTTAAACCTGAATCTTCCTCTCTTGATCATTTTGTTGTAGTATTTGTATATTTTGCTGAATATATTCTGTATATTTGTATGTTTGCTGAACATATATACTTATAGAAACACATATGTAATATATACACATACATACATAAGTTATATATAACTATGTGTAGTTATATAGTTTCACATAGATTATACTATGTAATAAATAGTATATTTGTACATATGAATACTATACATATAAGTACTATAAATAGTATATATGTACATATATATAATACTTTAACTCAACACCTAAACAATTAAATTATTTTTCTTCTACAATTATACAAGTTACAAAGAATGTACCAATTTTCATTGATAGAATGTATCACTGCAAATTCCCCATACCAATGAAATCACAGGACTAGTTCCTACCCCTAGTTACTGAGGCAAGTACATTTCCAAAGTATATGTAAGGAAAACATTGACTTCTCTATTATCCATCACAATGTTTATGTTTCTATTCCAGAAATATTTACACCACCAAATATCAACATAAACTGCACAAATCTTAGCTGTAGCATGCAGTGGCAGCTACCCAAAAGAAGAGAATTATGGGACACTAACTTTGAATATCAGCTTCAAATTCAAAAGGTAAATTTTTTTGTCACTTCTTAAATCATACTCCATGAAACTGTTCCCTATATTATGTGCGCTGAAAGATCCATTTCCCTCAACCTAACTTTCTTTCTGATCAGAGTAATTCTATTGCACCAAAACTTCCTCCAATCTGAACAACTTTCCCTTCTTTTCCTTGTTATTTTCTCCTCTCGAAGGTGCAAGGATGGTCTTCTGTCTTTTCTAAATGGAAACTAGCCATCAACAATGAGAAATTAATCTTTGGGCAATATGAAAGAATATCACAACAGGAAAAAAATAGTGCGATAGTTATTGTCACCTTAATAAATAACAGGACATAATCTGTCTTCACCATTTTGTAACCCATTTTCACTTCATTTACTCCAATCTTCTAGCCAAGGCCAACTTCTTTGCCCATGCCCTTGATTTCTCTCCTCTCCCCTATCCTATGGGATCTTGCCACTTCAATCATTCCTTATTTTTCTGTCATCATCAATCTCTCACTATCCACTGGCTCCTTCCCTGCCACCTACAAAAATGCTTAGGTCTTTCCAGGCCTTTAAAAAAATCCTTCACTTGAACCTGCCAAACTAACCTCCTACACCTTTTATTCCTTTCACAACCAAACTCCTAAAAGAGATGGTCTCATTTTCTCATTTTTTATTCATGTCATCCCTTTAATATCTGACTTCCAACCCCACCACTACACTGAAATTGTTCCCTCCAAAGTTGCCAATGATCTCTTAGTAGCCAAATCCAATGGCTTTTTCTGTGTCCTATTAATCTAGTTGACCTCTGCAACTTTTGACTTAGAGATTACCCTTTCCTCCAGGATGCTCTCCCCTCCATTTGTTTCTGTGATACTTCTTTCTCCTAATCCTTATCCTTCCTATCTGATCTCTCTTCAGTTTCTCTTGCTGAGTCATCACCCTTCTCCCAAATACCAAACACTGTTTTCTCAAGGTTCTCTTGTGTGTCCTCTTCCTTTCTCTCTTTCTATACCCTCTTTCTTGATCATATCACCAGCTCCCATGAGTTCAAATATCATTTCTATATATCTATGTCTCAAATTTATATATCTAGCCCCAATTATTCTCTGGAGTTAAAGTTCCATATTACTTACTTTCTACTAGACATCTCCACTTGAATGTTCTGTAAGCATCTCAAACTCAACGTTTCTAAAATGGAATTAATATTTTCCCCTCAAATCTTTCTCTCCTCCAAACTTCTCTACTTTTGTAGAGAGAATCCTTCTAGTCACCCAGAATTGCAGCCTCACAGTCATTCTTTACTTTTCTCTCTCTCCTTCCCCCAAATCCAATTAGTTGCCAAGTCTTTCCTGCCCCCACTACATTTGTCTCATCTATCCCCTTCCCTCTATTCATATAACCTCTATCTTAGTTTACCTTGTCCCTTTCACCTGGCCTATTGAAATAGCCTTCAAATTGGTCTTCTTCAATCTATGTTCCTCACTATTCCTGAATTGATATGGCTAACATACAAGTCTGACCATGCCACTCTCCTATTCAAAAATCTTCAGAGCATCCCTACCACCTCTATGATAAAATACAAAATTTCATTTAAAGCTCTACCTTGAGAAACAGTGTGTCAGAGGGGTGAAAGTGCTGGATTTCGAGTCAGAAAGACAAAATTCAAATCCTGCCTCTGACGTTTGTTAGCTGTGTGACTATGGGAGAATCACTTAATTTCTCTGAGCCTCAGTTTCCTCATCTGCAAAATGGAGTGGGGGTGGGCTGGGCTGAATGACCTCTAAAATCCCCTCCAGCTCTAAATCTATGATCCTGTGAGCCTAATAAGACACCCACTTACCTCTCCTTACTTCATATTGGTCTTCAAATTGCTCCTTTTATGTGTTCTCTATTTCAGTCCAACTGACCTATTTGCTGATCCAAATATACACACACAACATTCTACTCCTTCCTCTTGGGTCTTTGCTAAAGTCGTTTCCTCAAGTCTAGAATGTACTTCCCTCCACTCTGCCTAGTAAAATCTCCACTTTCTTCACAGCACATCTCAAGTGCCACCAGTCCTACCTGAGGCCTTTCCTAATTCCCCTATTTGTTGGCACTCTTTCCTTCTTGAAGTTGCTTTATATTCCTTTGTGTGTGTACTTTGTTCAAAATCACAAAACCTTATGGCAGCCCTATTTAGTGGTAGAAGAATTCAAGCCAAATTCCTGAGAGGGAATCCTTTGCAGGCTGAAGGGAAGAGAAGAGTTTCTTTATTTTTCGTTGTCCTCTCCCCATTCCCCCTAGCCAGCCATTTGATTTTGAGAGATTCGGAGGTCACCTTAGCAACCAGAAGTGGTAGCAGTTACCACCAGAACAGTTAGTAGCCAAAGAGTGAGGAAAGGCCTGAAGACAGATGTGTAAAGTCACCCAAAGATAGTGATTTTCAAGGAGTGAGACACTTTGTGACAGAGAAAAGTGCTGACTGGGAGCTCTTTAAAGGAAGGGATCCTTAGAGGCTAATAGAGAGTTACACCTAAGGAGAACTTCATGATAACTTTATGACAAGGGGACAAAAATTTCCACTAATCAGGAGTTGTGGGTGACCCCTTTTGTCACCATGTACTCTACACATTCTTCACTACCATTATACTTTACATTTAAGCCCATTCTTTTCGAGGGAAAATGTGCCCTAGACTTCTTTTTTGGGGGGGAGGGGGTACCAAATGTTTTATACTAGCCATTTTTTTTTTGGTGAGGCAATTGGGGTTAAGTGACTTGCCCAGGGTCCCACAGCTAATAAGTGTCAAGTATCTGAGACTGGATTTGAACTCAGGTTCTCCTGACTTCAGGGTCAGTGCTCTATCTACTGTGCCACCTAGATGCCCTATACTAACCATTCTTAACCATCTCAGTAAATATGTTTTTTAAAAGTTCATTAAATTCTAAATGACTGATAATCAAAGGGAAGTACATAGGTAAAGGTTTGTCTATCAAGATTAACCCTGGAACCCTGAGAATCAGAATAATCTGAACTTCTGGGGACCCCATAGTAGGAATAATACATTAACTTAGCATGAGCAACTCCATTTTATTTTAGGCTTCCATTTTGTAATTAAACAGTTGCTATGTAAGTTGTTTTTCTATAATAAGATAAGCACTTGTATATAGTTTCATGTTTCAATGATTGTTTGTATGTGTGTCCCCCAAATCTAGTAAACAACTGATAAACATGGTAATGACATTAAGAAACTAAACCTTGGTTGGTAGTTTCCATTCCTCATAAGATTAATTAATTGATCACCAATCAGAACTTAATATAACTGATAAATGTCTTTAGACAGACCTATAAAAACCCACTGGAGACAATAGCCATCAATCTGCTTCTGGATGGCCAATAGAACTGATTCCTAAATTCCCCAGAGACTCAAGCATTCCATGTTCACTAGCATGAACTCATACTTAGCAGAACACTACCTTGAAAGGAGACATAGAACTCGGCAGAGGGAAACTTTGGCCTGAATACTGGTAAAGTACATGTTTACCAGGATCTTTAGCAATCAGGTTGATGGTTTGTCCCTATAGGGGTTAATGTTTATATTGTTGAGTAGATAATTACATTCAGTTGTTTAATAAACAGTGATGAAATGCACTGTGAGTGTAAATTTATTTTAGTCTTTCCATTGCCTTAGTATATGTAATAGTAAATTGGTTTGGCATGTGCACCATGCATTATAGACGCCAAACCACAGTATGAGTGACAGTTGGGGAAGTGAACCCAGAGGGACTGCTACAAATACAATTGTGCCCTGACTACTCAGGACCAGCAACACATGTATGGTATATGAAGGTCATGCTATAAAACAAAACTAGCCATTCAGGTCAGGCTTTCTAGGAATTAGATCTGCAACCCTAGCCTTGTTGGCACTGTGGTTTAACTCATCAAGCTAACCCAAGCCATAGCAATTTACTGAATTAGCACTAGGGCTCTTAGACTATTATTTTTATTCTGGAATTGTAATTTCATCAATGTAGAGAATATTAGCATGTGGAAACTCCTGCCCTAGATACAGATTAGCGACGCCCCTTTAATGAAGTATTAGAGAGTTGCCTTAGGGGCACTGAGAGTTTAAGTGTTTTATCTATAGTCACAAGATCTGAATCTCCTTCACCCACACTGTTTCTTAGTGACTTTCAGAAACTCAGTCATTCAAAGACAAAAGTACCTTAAAAAGGTTATCATCTCAAGGCAACAGGCCTTTCTTACCTGTGAATGACCAGGGGACTCATTAACCAAGGAAGTTTCTTAATGCCATGCACAAAATAAGGACAGAATGTAAACCTGGGTCTAACCCTTCCAAATCACAGGAATTGATAAGTTTTCTTCTTCAGAAACTTAAAGTGACTTGTAGAGAGAGTCTATATAGAACAGCTCCTTGTGTATAAAACATAAGTTGGAGACCCTAGTAGAGAAGGAAACAAAAGAGCTGAAGGAATGCCTCTCTACTTTCTATATTAACACAAATAAAGAAGGATTTCTGGAAAGAGCAGAGGGGTTCCAAAGGGGATACATAGAAGAAAAAGAATCTCAAAAGTCAAAGTGGGAATCCTAACCTGTGATCAGGAAGTTGGAAGGTATCAAAATGTGGCAGAAGAAGGACCCATAAACCTTTGGAGCTCCAAATGGCCAACTTCACCCTCTATGGGACGAACTAAAGAAAATGAAGTTTTATTACTTCAAGGAATAATTCACAGATGCCACCATGAGAGAAATCATCTAGTACTCAGAGGAAGAAGTAGCAAAGAGTAGTGGTTGATAATTTTCCAAGTACACCAGTGTCTTGACCAGATAACCTAATTCTTCCTCAATGAAATTTTTTGTTACTACTACCATAATCAATTTTTCCTTACTGGTCAAATTTAGATCTAGAATTGTTTGTCTCACCTTTTAAAGAAAGAAATTTCCATTAAGTCAAGTTGTGCATTTGTCAAGTGCTTTGTTTTAGCAGAGAAAATGTGTGCTTGAAGACATCTTGATTGTTGAAGACTCCTTTTGCTACTTATGCCATATCTTTGTGGTGTGTTTGTGAGGTTTCTTGAACTTGTCATTCATTCCTTTGGTCCATATGGTCTGTAGCATAATCTAACCACATTAATTCTATTTGTTCTGTTGATCTTGACTTAAATGTTCTCTCTGCTTTGCTTCCTCTTTTTGGTTCAGGGATTTCCTTGTATGTCTAGGGGAATTGGGATAAGAATTGAACCTAAGATCCTAACTTCCTTTGGTTCCTTCAAGTCCAAGATAAAAATAAATCTCACCTTCTACATGAAGCTTTTCCCAATCCGCCTTAATGCTAGTGCCTTCCATCTTTTGATTTTCTCCAGTTTATCCTGAATATGAATTTTTTTTCTACACAATTGTTTTCATGTAGTCTTTCCCATTAGACTGTGAGCTCCTTGAGAGCAGAGACTGACTTTTACTTTTCCTTATCTACGCAGCCCTCAGCACAGGACCTGGCACATAGAAGGTGTTTAACAAAAGCTTATTGTCTAATTAACTGATTTCATTGGCCCAAGGAACTCCCAGATAAGGAAAGGCCATTTACTAATACAGGTTGACACCTTTTCCAAAACTTATAATTTTAGAGAATTGCTTACTTTTATTTACTTTTCCTTTTGAATAAGATACACCTTTCCATAATAATAATAGCTTTAATGTTTGCAAAGCTTTTTATATGTATTATCTCATTGCTTCTCACACATTTATAGATACAAACACTTGAGGTCATGGGTTTCATTGTGGTCCCTCTTTTTCCAAGTTATCTTCTATGAATGACTGGTCTTCTTCACTGATATTCTTCTTCTTCTACAGTACCTATAAATCTGGGTGGCATCTGACTTGGTGGATAAGTACTGGCACCATTCTTCTTTCTCTTCCTCTCTTGTCTAAAGACATAAATAGCATGATAATCAAAATTTTAGATGACATGACATGATCATGTTGGATAACAGAGGCAGAATCCAAAAAATCTCATAGTCTAAAAATGTGGGTTGAATCTAATAAGATGAAATTTATAAGGATCACTGTAACATTCTATATTTGGGTTCAGATTCTCAACTGCAGAAGTATATAGGGTATGGGAAGTATATCTAACAACAGTTCATGTGAGGAAAAAAAATAGGTCTTAGTAGACATGTCACAAGCTCAATGAAAAAGCAACATGAATGAAAAACAAAACAAAAAAATGCCAACAAATTCAATCTTAGGTTACACTAATAGAGGAATAGTTTCCAGAATGACTCATTATCAAATCAGATCTAGAGCATTGTGTCAAAAATTAAAAGACTCTTTCCAAAAGGACTCTGATAAACTGAATTATCCAGAGGATATTGACTAAGATAGGGAAGGGGATGCTGAACATGACTAGGGAAGGTTGGCTGAAGAGATTGGACACGTAAAACACAAAGAAAATTCAAGGGCAATGTGCTAGCTGCCTTCTAGAATTTCCTAGATTGATGATAACATTTAGAGCTGGAAGAATACTGTCAAGAGGAAGAAGGATTTGACTTGTTCTGTTTGGGTCAAGAGGCCCCAAGTACAGTGGATAAAATAGGTGGAAATCCCTGTTGAAGAAAACAATTGACCCTCGAATTTTAGCCAAATCTGTCATTACATTTTTATTAATGTATCAACATACTGTTGGGAAGGAAGATATAGCTAGATATAGATATACTTCCCATATAGAATGGATAGAGTGCTGGCCCTGGAGTCAGGAGGACTTGTGTTCAAATCCTGACTCAGACATTAGCTGTGTTACCCTCTGGCATGATTTATGATTCCCTTGACAATGCAAAGAAAAATTAACCAAAGCATAGACTTGCAAGGCATGGCCTATATGAGAAGAAAAAGACATCAAGAAAACAGTGAAAGGAATGCAAGAACAGAATGAGGAAAGTCAGGGGTACTGCAAAAGCAAATGTTGGTACCGGCAAAAAGACAGAATAAAAAACACTATGGATGATGTTTATCTGTGAAGATAATTTTTCATCAGAGCATAAATAAAGTATGTAAAAACTAGAAAAAAACTAAAAAGAAAAAAGAAAAAAATGGGGAAAGATAGTATAGTCAAATCATTTTAATCCACTTTGGGATTGGCTGCAATCATCCACAGGAAGTCGTAGCTTTAGAATTTTTTCCCATACAGCCTACCATATTTTCTCATTTGCATTAGAGATTGTATTGCCTTTCCTGGAAATAAGGGAGGAAATCAAGAAGGCCATTTCTCAGGGGGATTAGAATTCAAGACACTTACTTGATTTTGCTTTTTTTTGTTGTTTTTACAGGTTGCTAACAAGAATATCTTAGAATCAGAAGTGAGTATTACTTTCTCTAACATTACTAAACTTTTGACTCCAAAAGCAAATACTGTGTTGAAGAGTAGCAAATCTTTCATAGCTGTCTTGTTTCTACTGATACAACCAATTAATTTCATTTATTTAGCATTATTATTTAGAAAATTGGGTCAAAATGAAGTTGGGCTCTTCTGGATAGCCACAGCTGGGTAGATGGAAAACTACCCTTGAGGGATTTCACTTTCTCAGGATAACACAATAAGTCAAAGACTTAAATTGATGCTAGACCTCCATCACTATGTTTTGACTAACTGAACTCTTATCTACTCTTTTTTATGGTTTTATGGTTACTGGGTAAGTATATACTGAATAAGTTCTCTGTGGTCTGATGAGTAGGTTGTTAAGATGACATTGACATACAATTGCCTTTTTAAAAATCCTGATTTCACTGTAGAGAACCCCTCCATTTTTTTAAGAATGAAAAAAAAAATTTACTTATTACAGCCTTAGAGTTGCCTAAAAAGTTAATTAATCTGTCCAGGGTCATACAACCAGTAGGCAAACAGAGTTAAGGCTTAAACCTAGATCTTCCTGACTCTAATTCTGATGTACTATTCCATCTTTTCACTTTCCATTTACACTTAGAAAAATGAAAGATAACTTTGGATCGAAGCATATAGTATCTTCATCTGCTTTAATACAGTCCAAGAATGTAATAGCAAATAAAAAATGACACCTCATGCTCTCCCAGCTGGTAAGCAACTCACTAGAAGTTACTTAGGCACCTTCAAAATGTGCATTAACTCAAATTAACCACCAGGGCATGACTACAGAATTGAAAATTCTAGGTACCTTCATGCAAGAAGAAAATCAAGTCCAAAGTCAATATTGTGTTCATCTAAGGGGGTGTTCGTTATTGAAGCTCTAAACTGCCATTATTATAAGGCCTTCTAAACTTGGCTTAGGTCCTATGAGCCTAATAATTAATAATACTTATAGGAGACTTCCATGAATTAATTTCCTTCAGTAAAACCTTAAGTGAGAAGTTAATTATAAAAATATTTATTCTATTTGGTACTTAATTGGAGAATAAAAATTTAAATTAATTTTTAAAGAAGTTAATTGTCCCTTTATCTTACCCTTGAATCTTCTAGAGGTCATCTTTATGTTTACTAACTTCTCATAAGGGAATTTTATATCCAATCTTGGTCTCTGGTACACTCAATGGGATGCTGATAAATATTTAACAGCTGGCTCCCTGGAGGTAGGGGAGGGAATTTATACACATGACACATTTTTCACTTTTAAATTTAGTCTGAATAAATTAGAGAGAGAGAGATGATAATGGAAGGTTAAAATGAATCATTTTAATTCCGTAAAGCTTTTGCACAAACAAAATCAATGCAGCCCAAATTAGAAGGAAAACAGGAATGGCAGGAGGGGGAAGAGATTCACAGTAAGTTTCTCTGATAGAGGTCTCATTTCTCAAATAGATGGGGAACTGAGCCAAATTTATAAAAATAAGAGCCATTCCCAAATTGAGAAATGGTCAAAGGATATAAACAAGCAGGTTTTTTTTTTAATTTAATATTTTTGTTACATTTTAAGTTCCAAACTGTCTCCTTCTTTCCCTCTTCACCTCACACTAAAGAAAACAACCATTTCACACACACACACTCCCATGTATGTGTGTATAATATGTAAAACCATGCTATGAGTACTAATATTTATCAGTTCTTTCTCTGGAAGTGAATATCATCTTCTTTCATAGATCCCTCATAATTAATTTGAGTATTTACAATATTCAGAATGACTTAGTTCCTCACAATTATTGTTCAAACAATATTGCTGTTACTGTATACAACATTCTCTTGGTTCTGCTCATTTCACTCTTCATTATTTCATGCAAATTTTTCCATGTTTTTTCTAAAAATCAACCTGCTCATCATGTCTTACAGCACAGCAGTATTCCATCATAATCATATACCACAACTTATTTAACCATTACCCAAGTGATGGGGATCCCCTCAATTTCCAGTTCTATGCCACCATAAAGAGAGCTGCTACAAATATTTTAGAACATATAGGTTCTCTTTCTTTTTCCCTGATCACCTTGGGAAACAAACTTAATAGTAGTATTGCTGGACCAAAGGGTATCCATAGTTTTACAGCTCTTTAGGTATAAATCCAACTTGTTCTCCAGAATGGTTGACCTAGCTCACAACTCCACCAACAATGCATTAGGGTCTCAATTTTTTGACATCCTCTCCAACATTTGTCATTTCCCCCTTCTATCATTTTAGCCAATCTGATAGGTGTGAAATGATATCTCAAAGTTGTTTTAATTTTCATTTCTCTAATCAATAATGATTTAGAGCATTTTTTATATAAGCATATGTAACTGATTTCTTCATCAAAAAGCTGCATGTTTATATCTTTTGACCATTTATCAATTGGGAATGACCAATATCCTTATACATTTGACAAAGTTCTCTATATATTTGAGATATGAGGCCTTTATCTGAGAAACTGTCAATAAAATTGTTCCCAGTTTTCTGTTTTCCTTCTAATCTTGGCTATCTTGGTTTTATTTGTACAAATCTTTTTTGATTTAATGTAATCAAAATTATTGATTTTGCAACTCATGATGCTCTCTCTATCTCTTATTATTCATAAATTCTTCTCCTATCCATAGGTTTGATAGGTAATATGTTCCATGTTCTTCTAACTTATGAGATCTCCCTTTATAGCTAGATAATGTATCCATCTTGACGTTATCACTGTAAATGGTATAAGGTATTGGTCTATACCCAATTTCTGCCAGACTGCTTTTTGGTTTTCCCAACAATTTTTACAAAATCATGAATTACTATCCCCAAAGCTTAAATCTTTACATTTGTCAAACACAAAGTTACTATAATGATTTGCTATGGTGTATTGTATGTCTATTCTGTTCTACTGATTCATCTTTCTATTTCTTAGCCAGTACCAGATAGTTTGATAATTACCATCTTATAATATACTTTAAAATCTGGTACTGCTAAACCTCTTGCTTTCACATTTTTTTCATTAATTCCTTTGATATTATTGACCTTTTCTTCTTCTAAATGAATCCTGTTCTTCTTCTTCCAAATGAATTTTGTTCTTATTTTTTCTAGCTCAATAACATATTTTCTTGATAATTTAATTTGAGATGACATTGAATAAGTAGATCAATCTAGGTAGAATTGTTATTTTTATTATATTGGCTCTACCTACCCATGAACAATTAATATTTTTCCAATTATTTAAATCTGACTATAAAAAGTGTTTTATAATTGAAGTGAAATATAGTGAAGTGACCTGCCTAAAGTCAAACATAAGTAGAAAGTAGGATCAGAATTTGAACTCAGGACTTCTGACCCCAAACACAATGTATTTTCCATTGTACCATGTTTCAAAATTGTGTATCATTCTTCTAAGCACTAACTTCTTGAATGCAATTTAACCACATCCTTCCTGTGCAATAGGCTTTTTTTCTTGTAAATATACTTCCCCTTTGATATAATCTTTGGATTAAACCACTGATTTGTTCATTATTTTTCCTTCTTTATTTTGTTCTTATTTCTCCCACCCTCAAAGAACTGGGAACTCTACTTGTGACTGCTTCTGTTCTTTTATCATGGAAGTTCATGAAATTCCTAGATTTGTTTTAGCAGGCATATTCCTAGGCATTTTATGCTGCCTACAGTTATTTTAAATTAAATAGCTTTTATTATCTCTTCTTACAAGGTTTTGTTGGTGATGTATAGGAATGCTGATCATTTATGTGGGTTTATTTTTTATATTTATCCTGCTACTTTGCTAAAATTATTATTTCAACAGCTTTTTAGTTGAATTTCTAGTACTTTCCAAGTATATCATTATATCATTTGCAAAAAGAGATAGTTTTATTACCTCATTGCCCATTCTGATTCCTTCAATTTCTTTTTCTTTTCTCCTTGCTATTATTAACATTTCTAATACAGTATTGAATAATATTGGTGCTTATGGGCATCCTTGTTCTACTCCTGATTTTATTGGGAAGGCTTCTAGCTTATCCTCATTACAAATAATGCTTGCTGATAGTTTTAGATAGATGCTTCTGAAGAGGCATTTTTCAGAAGAAGAAATCAAAGCTATTAACAGTCACATAAAAATGCTCTAAATTACTATTTACTAGAAAAATTAAAATTAAAACATCTCTGAAGTACCATCTCACACCAATCAGACTAGCTAACATGAAAGAAAAGTAAAATGACAAATGCTGGGAGAGAGTGTGGAAAAATAGGTACACTAATGCTCTGTTGGTGGAGTTTTAAAATGGTCCAACTATTTTGGAGAATAACTTGGAACTATGCCCAAAGGGCTATAAAACTATGCATACCCTTTGCCCCAAAAAAGAATTGAAAATTGGTGAGATGCCTATCAAGTAAGGAATGGCTAAACAAGTTTTCATGTATGATTGTGATGGAATACTATTGTGCGATAAGAAATTATGAAGGAGACTCTTTTAGAAAAACAGTGAAGACTTACATGAGCTGATACAAAACTAAATGAGAACCAGGAGAACATTGTACATAGTAACAACAATATTGTAAAGATAATCAACTGTGAAAAACTTGGCTACACTGATCAATACAATGATTCATGACAATTCCAAAGGACTCATGATGGAAAATGCTATCCATCACCAGAGAGAGAACTGATGAACTCTGAGTGCAGATTAAAGCATATTTTTAAACTTTATTTTTCTTGCCTTTTATTTATTTGCTTGTTTTCTGTAACATGGGCATGACTTCATATGTATCATGGGTATCTTATTTCTTGCCTTCTCAATGGATGGGAGAGGGACTGGAGGAAAGGAGAGAATTTGGAAATGGAAAATAAAAACAAATTTAATTTGCATTTTTGACATTTTATCCATCACCTTTTTAAGTCTAGGCAGGCAACAAAGCAAAGAATCAGGACTTGACTTGTATAATTTGCTGATTTCTGAAATGTAAATGCTCACACTGAAAATTTAACAATTGACTCTCAACAAACAAACTAGAGCTGACTCCAGCACATTTGTGACCATATACTCCTCCTTCTAGAATCACAGGGCTCTTTATATATCTACTTCTAGCATCTAGAACACACATGTATTGTTGTCAGTGAGTATGCGGACAGAAATTTTAAAAATTATTTTGTTTTTAAGCGCCCTGTTACTATAGAAGCAACGAATTTTGACTACAGAATTACTGGTGGAAAATATACTGTGAAAATAAGAACAAGAAATTTGTTGAATAATGAGAATTGGAGTGAATGGAGTGAGCCTCAAGAATTTGGTAAGTGTGCTATTCTTTAATTCTAACACACATGTTGGGGAAGGGGAATTAGATTGGAATATCTCCCAGAGAGCTGACCATGGCCGCTTTGGCTCCATGGGAAGGGACATATGAAGCAGGTGTCACTTCACTATGCAACCAAAGTTCTCAAGCCCAGCACCATGGAAAGTGTTTTCATCTAAACCCTCATACAATGTTGGAGAAGCATCAGGGCTTATGGATAAAGCACTGGCCATAGAGTCAGGAATACCTGGGTTCAAATCCCACTTCTACACTTATTAGCCATGTGATCAAAGGCAAATCAATCTCTCTGAACCTCAGACAAATCTCTAAGACAATAAATTACACATGTGATCTTCTTCAAAGCTTTAGAGCTGAAAGGAACTTTAGAAAGGACCCTACATGTAGGGTAAGCAAGAAAACTACTAATTAAGCATTGGATGTTGCTTAGTTTGGAAAACACAGATACAATTCCTAGTGTTCTATACTTAAAAATAAAATAAACAAAAAATACCAAGATGAAAACCCTAGATCTAAGAAAAGAAAAAGTTCTGAAAACATTTTTTTCTAAAATGATAATAGATCTGCCAGGTTTTTAGAAAAAGGTGACCCAGGGTAGAAGCCCCCTCTAGTACAAGCACCTCATTTTTATAATTGACAAAATTAAGGGCTTGAAGTGAAGTGACTTGCCCAAAGTCAAACATAAGTAGTAAATAGGATCAGAATTTGAACTCAGGACTTCTGACTCCAAATATGGTTTGTTTCAAAATTGTGTGCCATTCTTCTAAGCATTTACTGTTTAAATGTAACTATCAACTTAACCACATTCTTCTTGTGCAACAAGCTTTTTTTTCTTATAAATATACCTCCCCTTTGATGTAATCTTTGGATTAAGCCACTGATCATTTCATTGTTTTTCCTTCTTTATTTTGTTCTTATTTCTCCCACTCTCAAAGAGCTGAGAACTCTACTTGTGGCTGCTTCTGTTCCTTTATAATGGGGGCCCAGTGCATGCATAGAGTGCCTCAGCATCTCTCTGTGGAAGATGCTAGGGAAGAACTGGCATTTCTTTTCACAGAGGAAACTAGGGAGGAGATGGTGTTTCTCCACGTGAAGGACTTTAGAGAGCTGCTTCCAGGCAAATGATGATGATGGGTAATAGAAGTGCCTTTGAGAGACAGACTATGGAGCATGCATTGACATTCTATAACTGATTCAGGTCAACTAACCACATGTTGAAGAAGAGATGCTGATTGGCTGCAGTGGTATTCAAAAAGACTCATCAGCTTCAGCTAGGAGAAAGTCCTACATATGATGAGTCTCTTAAGGAGTCTAAGATCTTTTAGCTTTTTTTCTTTTTTCTTTTTTTTTCTGCCATATCACATTGTTATCTCATATGTTAATGAATGTATTATTCCATGATATGGATGTTGCCTCCAAAGCACGGATCATTAGTCATCTACCCATCCTGTCCATCCTATTTAGCTCTTATCCACGTCTTTACCCCAATGTGTGTGGAGCCCTCTTTGCTTTCTCTTGACATCTAGTAGAGCCTAGTGGTTTATTCAACAGTTAGTTCTTGCTCTTGCCACATTGACCAGCCCATCTTCTTTTTTGATTATACATTTTTTTATAATGTCCTTTACTCTGGTTCTCCATTATAGTCCCTATGCATTATGAATTGCAGCCTGCTCTCACCCACCATTCACCTCTTTACTGCCCTCTAGGTATTACTTAGTTTTAATTATTTAGTGACTAGTATTCAATAGTACCCAGCCAACCAACCAGACCAGTAGAATATTGGTATTGAAAAGATGTGCTTAAAAAAAAAGATGGGCTTCATTTCAAAGGAAAATTTGGGGTCATTAAGTGAGTTTTGTAGCTTCCCATAAGTAATTCAATCTGCTCCTGACCTGATTCTTCAGTAATCAAGTGCTCAGGATAAGTATTTGCCAAAAGATTACCAATAAGAACATTGCAGTTTGTGCACTAACATATTGGGGGGAGGGGAGGTGAGTGTGAGTGTGAGTATGTGTGTGTGTAATATTTCATCCTCTTAGCCAGATAATGACGAAAAGTCCCAGCTTCCTACAGGATGGTCTTACCATTTCAATAGAAGTTTTCCTAGAAGACTATGGCAAGGCACTTCACCTCAATATGTGTCAGTTTCTTCATCTGTAGAATGAGGAGAGCTGAATCTAAGAAATTCAAAGATATCCTTATACAGTATTATTATTTATGTTTTTCAAAAAGCTGGGACAATTTACTTTTTGTTCTGTGCAGATTTCATCTATGATTTCTTGAAATATGTATCTCTGAAAGAAAAAAAAAATCAGGCTTTAAAAAAAAAGCCCATTGTAGGGGCAGCTAGGTGGTATAGTGGATAGATCACTGGCCCTGGAATCAGGAGGACCTGAGTTCAAATCCAGCCTCAGATACCTACTAGCTGTGTGATCCTGGGCAAGTCACTTAACCCTGATTGCCTTAGAAAAAGAAAAGAAAAAAAGTCCGTTCTGTTTCCAATGGAACTACTTGACTAGCTTTTAAGTCCAAATCACTCTGGCTTTCACTGAAAGGCCAATAATAGCCCCCAACCCATGCCTCAGTGGCTCATTATTTAGCTCTTGATTTAAGATGAATATAAATAGCAATTGTTTTCTGTTCTAGAAACTTTGAGGGTTTTACCCTCCCAGATTGGCATTTTTGTGATGTAAATTAGGCCACCTTTTGTCTCAATTCATTGAATGGGAGTTGCTTCAGACTAAGGAGACCTGGGAAAGATGTTAATGTACAAAGGCCAAGATCACTCCTGTATCCAGGGCCATTCACAGTCATCTTGACTTTTATCTTGCCACTGGACTTCCATGACTCTGGATGAGAAAGTGAGGCTGAGCACTTTGGGCTGCTCTGCCTTACTTCCAATTCATGAGCAAGTCAAGACACCACCTTCATGATGTTGTTGGTCCTCTGCAAGAACAAATGACGAATAACAACTCTCACTCTCAGTTACTTCATCAGCTTTTGATGGGTTCAACTATCATATCTATAAAAATGACTCCCAATTTTACATATGTAGATCTGTTTCTCCTGAGCTCCATCTCCACATCTCCAACTGCCTGCTGGATATGTCTTCCTGATATGTGACAGAAATCTCAAACTCAGGATATTTAAAAAAGAATTCATTATCTTCTCTTCAAATACCACCCCTCTTCCTACCTTCCCTATCTCTGTCCAGGGCAACATTATGCTTCCATCCACCTAGGTCCCCTTGCCTCTATCCTCTGCTCTCTATTCATATCATTTAGTTCAGGCCCCCACGAAATCTCACCTGAAGTATATTACAGTAGCCTCCAAACTGGTGTCTTTGCCACTAACTTCTCCTCTCCCCAGTCCCAGTTCATCTTCTGTATAGCTACCAGTCAAATTTCCTAAAGCTCAGATCTGACCAGGTCAAGCTTCACTGACTCTACCTTGCCAGTGGCATAAAATACGAACCTTCTGGCACTTCAAACCCCTCGTCATCTCATTCCATCTTGTCTTTCCACTTATTTCACATCACTCACCCTCACACACTCCACAGTCCAAGCCAACGGCTCTACTTGCTGATCAGCAGACTTTTGCATAGGATATCCCTCTTCTTGCTTGGAATGATTTCCCTTCTCATTCTTACAAGAACCCTGGTTATGTTTGAACCTCAGCTCAATTCCTACCTCCTAATCAAGGCCTTTCCTTATCCTCCCATTTGTCGGTATTCTCTGGCCACCCCTAACCTGAAATATTTTGTATTTATTTGTGTGAACGTTTGTTGCATTTCCCTAGCAAGTTATAAGTTCATTGAGGGAAGAAATTGTTTTCATTTCCTTTGTAGTCCTTAGGACATGTTATATAGAGGGGAATAGTGGATAAAATGGACCCAGAACCAGGAAGACATGGATTTAAGTCCCACCTTTGATATATACAGATTGTGTATAGGCAAGGATTACTCAGCACTCTAGACAACTGTTTAAGGGTCTGAGTTGTAGAGAAGGTACTGATCTGTGTTGTTAGGAATTTCCTCATCTAGAGAATTCCCTATGCCAACGAAATCATAAGTCCAGGATCACTCCCAATCCCCATTGCCTAGTATAGTGCCTGGCGCATATTAGCATTTAATGAATGTCTATTGAATTGAACTTGTCAACCCTGATAACAAATGACCGAAAAGACACAGCAGCTCTACAATTGCTGCTAACTACAAAAAAAAAAAAAAAAAAAAGAGAGGTCACAAAAATTATCAAAATCATAGTTAACTCTAAATATATATATATATGTATGTATATATAATTAAGTAAAATAAAATCAAATAAAATCAAAGAGCTAACAGTAGTTATAAACAAAAGGTTTTCTTTATTCCATTGAAGGAGGGAAATTAGACACATGTGCCAGGGCCCCTTCTAGTAGGAGACCCACTTTAGTGTGGGCAAATCTCAATACTTCAACCAGTGACTATACAGTGAGCTAAAGCCCTGACAATGAGGGGTAATAGTAACAATGTGACAAGTTTGATAGCAGGACTTCATGACTGGAACACAGGTATTACAGGTGTTTATCCAAGCTCTGAGACCACCTGGTCTTGGTGTGAAACAATTCTGGGATTTTGTTGTGGCTGAGTTCATCCAGAGGGTGAGTGCAAAGGAATGTTGCTATGCCAAGCTGAGGGCACAGCTTGCTTGTTGGACCTTAGCTCTGGAAAACAGGGTATCTCCTAATAGAATAAAGAGAGGACTAGAAAGAGAGGGATGGTTTTGGCATGGGGATCCTGACAAACTGAATTGACATGGCAAATCAAGGTTGCAGTCATGGGTGTTTATTAACAAAAATGTGATTGTGGTAAAGGTTTTAAATTTATGTGTAGGTTTTTGGACAGGTCTAGCTATGGAGAGGAAGATAATTTCTTTCTCTGCTTTCCCCAATGTAGCCCATCAATTTCACAGGTAGATCATTTATAGAAACCTTTATATACATCATTTTAAAGATGGGCACATATTTGATAAAAATGGACCACTAAGCAGAATTAGAAAGACAGTGATAAGCACCAGCCCTGGAGTGAGGAGGACCTGAGTTCAAATCCAGCCTCAGACACATGATACTAGCTAGCTATGTGACCCTGGACAAGTCACTTAACCCTGATTGCCGGAAAGAAAGAAAGAAAGAAAGAAAGAAAGAAAGAAAGAAAGAAAGAAAGAAAGAAAGAAAGAAAGAAAGAAAGAAAGAAAGAAAGAAAGAAAGAAAGAAAGGAAGGAAGGAAGGAAGGAAGGAAGGAAGGAAGGAAGGAAGGAAGGAAGGAAGAAAGAAAGAAAAAAGACAGTGATTTATTTTTAGTAAATAGATGTAAGGTACTTCAGTAAACCCCTATGCTCTTTGAGGTCAGGGCTTGTTTTAGTCTTTATATTCCCAGCACCTAAACCAGGGCCTTGCACATAGTAAATGCTTAATAAATATTTGTTGAATTGAACTGAATTCTCTCTACATTGGCTCATAAAACCTGAAAAGGCAAAAAAAATTTAAAAAAAGAAAGAAAGAAAATGGATAAGAATATTGACAAAAGTAGAGTCCAAAAAGCAAATTAATGGAGCACAGATAAAACTCACAAGTGCTAGGAGAAGATAAAGAAAATTGATAACTATACAATATGTGATTCTTTCATCTATTAATTTATTCAACAAGCATTTATTGAGGACTTACTATTTACGAAACACTGTGCTAGGTTATGGGAGAATTCTAAAATTTAGGTAAGACATGAAGCCTGTTGTCATGTAGCTTAGAAAAGGACACAAATAATGATAACTACAATGTAGAATAGAATGTCAAAAGTGCATGAGAGGTAGAAAAACAAAGTGCGTATGATATTTTAAGGAGAAAAGTTTTATTGACAGAGGATCAGAGAAAGTTTAATGGAGGAGATGGGATTTTGAGTTGGGCAGAAATCCAACATTTGAAAAGAGGGAAGAAAGACATTCCAAACATAGGGAACTACATAAACAAAGACTTCAAGCTAGGAGGGCATGGTGACTGTTAGTGTACTTTAGGAGAATTCTAAGCAATATTGTGTTCTGAAGGTATGACATTCATACTGATCATGTCAGCTTCCACATTTGTGATTGGTACAGTGATACAATTGATATTAGTATTTAAGCATTCAACCATGCAAAAGTTCTCTCAAAGGAACTAGTCTAATTTGTAAAATAAACACACTCAGAAACTGACTATCCAATTACAGTCAAATACAAATGGGGGAAAGTGCTATTTTTTTCCCTAAGAAGCAGAGTTCCAGGTAGAGAATTTCTCCAATGTATCTCTGAAAACGCATAAGGGACCAAAACACATCTCAGACAAACCTCCTCTGGTCTACTCCCCACTCACACTCACTGTAGATTGGCTTACTAGGCCCAAGGCAGTCAATGGTTCTCTAAGTCATGGACCTATAGTGTCAAAGGCAGGTTGTAAATCCAGGTCCTCTGATTCCAAACACAGCATACTTTCCACTGTACCTCCCTGACTCCCCCAAAGTAATCTGGTTTTACTGGGGCATAGAAGTGTTAATATGAACTAGTGTGATACCAGTTTGTGGAGGGCCTCGAATGTCACACAAAGTAGTTTGAACTTTACCTAGGGGACACTACAGAGCCTGTGAAGATTTTGAGCATATGAGTGACATGAAAAGATCTATGCTTTGTATATCTGAGGCTGGAACAGCAACAGAAAACTAACCAGTCTTTTAACTTGGGTCTGCATCATTTTAAAATATACTCAGAACATTTGCCATCTTTGTGATCCTACAAATCTTTTTTGTTCATGACTTGACAGGTTTATTTGCCTTCTTTTTAGATTCATATGTTTCCTGTGTGTAGGGTTTTTTTTTTTATGTTTAATATTACGGAGGAGAGCCATGTTAATATTTGGGGAGTAAGTTGCTTTTTTTTGAAGTGATCAACATGGGACAGTGGAATTTTCATGAATATTTTACATGTTTGGCATAGTGCTTTGGATATAATATGATTTCAAAAAGCTAAGTTTAGCTTCCAAGTTCAAGCAAAGAAAACAGTCTACCTATTGGCCTTTTGTGGTGGGGGAAGTGGGAGGGAGAAGGAATAATTGATTCCAGGCACAGGGGTGATTAATGTGGGTACATTCATGGTTGTAGTGGAATCAGATGTACTATAGTTAAGCTTGTGTATCTGTGTAATACATAGTCTGAACATGTGCCCCTTTATGATTGTTAGTGGCAAAAGCATTCCTTAAAACAAAGTTTTAACCTAGTCCCTTTACTCTAGAGAAAGGAAGAAGTATTTTGCATTCCATTACTTGTGAAGTTATCTTCTATTCACCCACATTATTTTTGCTATACTCATTTTACTTGTATTTAAATAGTTTAGGCTACTACTATAGAGTCATTATATATTGAACACAGCAGTAAAAGAACAACAAAAAAGTATTTAACTTTTTTCTAGGTTTTTTTTAACTTTTGTGATTTTTAAAAAATATTTACTTAACAGGCATGTGTTCAAAACATAATAGGGAAATAAAGTTATCCTTCCATGGGGATTAGGAGTGTGGCACCCCCATGATTTGAAAGATCTGAGTAAAAAATTTTTGACCTTCCTTTCGTACCAGAGAAGTTTGAATTTTTTCTTTTTCTTTTAAGGAGTATTGATGTTATACAATACTATACACATATTTTATACATTTCTGAGTTTCTAAACTTTTTCTGTGTCAATTGCTGACCTTCACATGTTACCTGCAGCTTCTGCAAAACTCCCCCAAAATTCCCATTTAATTTATTATGCTGACCCAAGATATATCGGAACTAGGATGGAGAAAGTTGAGATATGGAAGGTTTAACTATAATTTGAGATGCTGGTTAGCTTTGTTGAATGTCCTTTGGAAAAGGTGGCCATGAAGAATGTGTCATTGGGAGTAGTTTGGACTCTCTGAGAGCCAAAAAAAGGGAAGTAATGGGAAAAAAAGTTTTAAGATGAAAGCAAATTGGTTGTCTATGGAGCAGGCATTCCAGAGAAAATTCTGCCTTAGAGCAGAGGAAGGGTTTGGGTGAATGAGAATAGAAATAAGGGACTGAGTGGTGGCAAATGGAGAATGGATTTTGAATGATGACAGCCAGGGGATTCAGAATCACTGGGATGAGGATAATATGATTTGTTGGGAGTCTGTTAATCATTGAGGAATTAGTTAGAGTAGATGGACCTCCTAACTCTGAGACTGTGTGAAACATGGTGCAGTAGAAAGAGAGGTGCATTGGGACCTAAGAGATCTGGGTTCAAATCTTAGCTCTGTCACTTGCTAGCTGACTTTGACTAAGTGTCTGATTGTTAATTTGTTCATATAAAAAAATAAGGACTTGGATTAGATTTCCAAAGTCCCAATAGTTAATGATTGTAAGCTTCTCCATCCCATGAAAATTAACAGAGGATTTATCACTAGCAAGGTCAGATGACATCTGCAAAGCCAGGCAGGCAATTTCCGCAACACAAAACCACCAGACATATTGCAGGAGGCATAGGCTTTTGGTGCTCCCTGCCCAAGCCAGAAAACTGAACAAACTGCAAGTTACTTTATAGGGAACAAGAGAAGTTTGAGATTGGCATCTGTGATAATCTAATATTCTTATTCTATCAGGTCATGAAGTCCCCAAATATATTCCTCTGCAAGTATTAATGTTCTCACTTCTTGGAATAGCCTTCATTATCCTGCTCATTTTGGGATATCTCTGTAAAAGGTAAAATAAGTCACTGCTGTATTGCTCTTATAGATTTAATGTTATCATTAGCAATGTATTTTATACATACTTATTTGTGTACATGTTTTCTCCTCTGATAGAATATAGTTCTTTGAATGCAGAGACTGATTCGTTTTCATCACCTTATCCCCAATTCCTAGCACAGTGCCTAGCACACAGAAGGCAATTAATAATGCTTGTTGATTAAGTGATTGAAAAATAGCAGCTATGTAACAAATCATTTTATAAGTATAATCCAGGGTCCCCTCAGTGGTGAACCCCTGAAAGTTAAAACCAAGTTCAAGGTACGTTTTGGCCAGCATCTACCTAAAACTATTATCTTATTTTACCAGAGGACTCATTATTTCAAAGTCAAATACATTTAAACATCATATCAGAATAAATAACAAGGAAATCCATCCCCCCCCCCCCAAATAGGGGTACATTCTCCCACAGATTGCCCCACCAAAGCAGGAAAGGGTACTAGGTACACATCCTTGCTATAATCCATGGCTGCTCCTGACATTACTGCTGCAATTTTCTTCAAAGAGACTGATCCAGTGACTTCATCAAATTTCCTGTTGTCATGCTGAGCTTCTGTCTTCAGTGCCCAGCCATCTGCTGGTACTGCATGGTCCAGGGTGCTTTCAGCTGCCACCTATTGGACTTCTGCTGAATTGCCTCAGCTTTTTGTGGTCCCGGGATGAGAGCTTTGGTTTTAACACATCACCTCAGGGCTATCACTCTTTCATGACTTAAATCCCAAAGCCACAGCCAACTCACCAGCAGAAGCCCATAGGCTTCAGTTAAACCTATCTTTTGAACTGCTTTGATTCTATCTGAACTGTCATTCTATGAGTTCAGTCCCGTATTTGAGAGAGAGAGCAATTCTTTCTATACTTTTCATTCCCTTAGTCCATGCAAATCACCACCTTAGGAGCTTTAATTAGCAAGCCTGGAGAGGCACAGCAGAACCAACAATTGTTTCTCCTACATTACTGCCAGTAACAAAATTACTTCTCTCCCTATTCTGGATAGTAACATGTAAATATTTGTAAGTCTTATCTTTTTATCTGCCTGCCTTAAAAAAAAAAAAAAAAACCTGCACAACTAAAGCATATTATTCTTTCACTGAAGAGTTAAAATATTTCCTTTCAGTTCTTTCTGTCACAGGGAGTAAGGCCACAAGCATTTATTAAAATTTTACTATGTGCCAAGGGGCACTGTACTAAGTACTGATGATACAAATATAAGCAAATAGAAAGACAAAGACAAGCCCTGTTCTCAAGAAGAGGTTAGAAGGGAGTACTTGATGAATAGTCTGGAGAGTCAGAAGCACAGCTTGTAGGGAAATAAAACAAAGATGGCCTGGTTCCTTCCCAAAATGAAGAGTCTGAGAAGAACTCACCAATGAGAGAAGGGAGCTATTGGCACCACAGCTTGGTGTTGTGAAAAGAGCATTAGTTTTGGTGTTGCTGGATCAAATCTCCCCTCATTTGCTTACTAGCCCTGTGACCTTAGGCAAGTCCTGTAACCTCTCTGAGGTTCAGTTTCCTCATCTATAAATTAAGTCACTAGTTATTTATTTGTTGTCTCTCCCATTAGAGTGTGAGCTCTTTGAGGGAGGGACTATTTTTGCCTTTCTTTATAAACCCAGGTTTAACAAGGTGCCCGGCACATAGCAAGCACTTAATAAATGCTTGTTGACTGACTGAAAGGGTTGAACTGGATAATATCTGAGATTCCTACTAACTCTAAATCTGTGATCCTACTGTGCTGATGGGATTATAATAGTGATGAAATAAAATTCTAAAACAGAAGGTTGATAGAATAGGTTAGCAATGAGCCCCCTGCTTTACAGACAGATTGGAGTAGCTTCACATAGCAACTAGGATACATTCCAGAGCTTCCTAGACTAATTCCCAGTCCCTAATTATTAGTCAGCTCCTGGTTCCTTCTCCTAGAGCTCACATAAGTTTTACATACAGGCTGTTCTAAATATCTTAGTTTAGTTTTAAGCCATCAAATCTTAATATCCAAGCAAAGATATAGTAAAAATTTCGGTCTACTAAATTTTAAGCTACTAAAACTGAACTAAGATGTTTGGGACAGTCCACATACTTATTTCTATGAATTCATGATATCATTAAGGTGGGCTACCATCTAAGTCTCTACAGATCACAACCTATCCATGCCTTCTATGTCCTTCTGAAAATCTTTCACAAGAGGTCCACCCAATATTCTGAGGGGCTTCCTCTATATCTCTTAACATTACTTGTATATTCATTAGACACATTGATTCTTGCTAAGTGACAGGCCACCTCCTTAAACTATCATACATTTCTCTAATCATATCCTTTATACAACTTCTGTGCAGTTCTTCATTGGAACCTCCTCATCCCCAACAGTTAGTCAACTAGTATTGATTGAACACCTACTGCGTGCCAGGCACTGCACTAAGTGCTGGGGATACAAAGAAAGTCAAAAAAAAATTTCCTGCTCTCAAGAAACTCACCTGGACCCCTCCATTGTCTTTTGGGTGACCCTCAACTTAATTCTCCACAGACTATGATAATCCATGATTGACAGCAATATGACATCACTGGAGCTTCATTTCATAAAAACACTTGTGGTTAAAAGCACTGTGCAGTTTCCCAAAAGCAATCCAGTCTATTCTCCTCCTTTTGTTTATCTACCTACAATGCCTATTCAAGACAAATATATGGCTAGACTAACTTTACAAGCAGCTCAGCTAACAGCATATCAGTCTAGATAATGGGCTTTTTTATTCACTTAACCTACTTCACAAAGATAACAAATGGGGATATCTCCAGATATTCCTTGAATAGATTACAGCATCTGGTGCAGATACTAAGATCTGAAAGAGCAGGACAGAGAAAGTAAGAGATGGGAGAGGGAGAAAAAGAAATCTAGTACAAATTACCAGCTAATGAGTAGTCCAGGAAGAGGACCAGAACCTGACTATATTGCAAGTGTCTTTGATATCCATTGTAGAAATAGTAAATTTCAAAGAAAATAATAATAATAATAATGTGCAAAATTTTCTCAATTATCAGTCAATATAAACCCTAATGAAACCAAAGAACTAATTTTAGAATATTAATTCTAAATATAAGTTCAAAATTAACTAATTCTGAAGAATAGAATATGATTATGTTTTAGTGTTATTCTTAGATAGCTATATTCATGTTCAATTCACATACATTTCTGAATAGTAGCCTGCAAACTTATGTCACAAATCACATATTTCCCAGTATTTTTAACTCTATATGAACTTTCACTTCTGCCCTTTGACAGTATGATGATGCAATCTCATTTTAGCTGCAACTTTTCAGAAATCATTTTCTAGATACAGCTTTTATGAATAAAATTATAATTCAGGGTACAAGTTTATTTTATCATGAAAAAGCGTGGCATTTTAATTTTTAGCTATTTTTAAATCACAAAAAGTTAAATGGACTACATGCACATTTTGTAAAAATACATATTTCTTCAAAAATATTTCTTTTATCTTAGTTTTCAAGTAAATAAGAAATATCAAAATTATAAAAATTTAATATTCTAGCAATATGCAAAAAAAGTTGCACTTTGGGAGTACTTAATTTTAAATGTTGAATTATATCAGGGTTGTAATTTGAGAAGAGCTGCAGTTTGCAAAGTTGCATTTTGCAAGTATTTATTGCAATATGAACCAGAACTCTATGACATGATTTTGATTTTTATGTGTTTTCATTATTATTTTTGTATGTTCTTAAACAATGTTTTGTTTTCCTCTTTCAGGTAAGACAGGAAAGATCTTCTTTTGTTTTGTTTTGTTTTTTTGCACATGCAGACTTTTATTCAGTTTATGTTTAGGTTTTTTCCCTTCCTTTCTCCTCTTCTCCCATCCCTTTCTCTCCTCTCCTCTGCTTCCTTCACTTCTCTTCTTCTTCCTTCTTTTCTACCCTTGTTGGGGAAGGGAGTGGTGGCCTGAACCCACCACTCAAACTCAGCTCAAACCCACTTTCTATTGCTCATTATCTTAGCATCTCTAGCTGCCAAATTGATATTACTGAAATACATGTCTAAGTATATTAATCCCCTGCTGAAGAAGTTTCAGTGGCTGCCTATTACCCTTAGGATCAGATACAAACTCCCTTGGTTGGTATTTAAAGGCCTTCACAGATTGGTTCTGAGCTTCCAAGCTGTTCTTCAGGAACTCAACGGCATTCTATACGCCAACCAAACTGGACTATTTGTGATTCCCCAATACAATAGTCCATCTCCTGTTACCATGACTCTAAACAGAATGTTCTCCCATTCGTAGAATGTATTTCTTCCTTACTGCCACCTCATAGAATCCCTAACTTCCTTCAGGCTTTCCTTGAATGTTTATTCTTACATGAAGCCTATCCTATTACCCCCAACTCACTAATACATTTCCTTCCCACCACAATTGCTTTTTGTTTACTTTGTGTACATTTTTTCATTCATGTCTTTGTGTTCATGTTGATCCTCCAATAAAATGTAAGCTCCTTGAGGGAAGGAATTGCTTCCTTTTTTATCATTGTATCCAATGCTTAGCAGTGTCTGGAATATGGCAGGCATTTAATAAATGCATGTTGAACAAAAGAATGAATTAAAGTGAACCACTTACACACTTGCAGAAACTGTAGTTCAAATTATCAGTCACGCAGAAGTCCAAAGATTAATAACTCTGCTCTGAGCCTTGAGAGTTCCCTCTACTAAGTCCAGAGTTACTGCTCAGTCATTTTTCAGTTGTGTCCAACTCTTCATGACCCAGTTTGGGGTTTTCTTGACAAAGACACTGGAATGGTTTGTCATTTTCTTCTGCAGCTCATTTTACAGATGAGGAAACTAAGGCAAACAGGATTAAGTCACTTGGCCAGAGTCACACAACTAGTAAATATCTGAAGCCAAATATGATCTCAGGAAGATGAGTCTTTGTAACGCCAGGCTGGCACTCTATCCACTGTACCACCTAGCTGCTCTGAGCCTTGCAAGTTCCCTCCACTAACCCAGAGTAGACAATGATGTTTGCATTGAGTCCCCCTCTCCCCCCATTAGAAGTGACCTTGATTCCATCCTTTTTTTCCATGTTACTATGGAACTATAGTGAATAAATGCCAACTGTGAGGATGCTAGTTTGCTGACTCCTAAGGAGATAGGCTATGTGATAATCTAATTAAATCCTTTTGTCTGATTTATTATATTTACCAAATTAATGTTTGAATTGTAGAGTTCAGTCTGTAGTCATCCAAACCTAATTTTAAAAAATAGCCGAGAAATACGTACTCATCAGCACTAATGGCACTCATGGGTTCTCTGAAATCAGCTTGCTATCACTATGCCTTGACATAGACTGTCTTCAATGCCTGCAATGTCCTCTCTCCTCATGTCCTCCTTTAAGAATTCTTATTTTCTTTCAAGGCTTAACTCAGGCATCACTTCCTACATGCAAAGCTTTTCAGACACCACATCTCTCCCCTCACCGTGTTTTATTCTCTTCCACCAAAATGATTTTGTATTTACTATGTATATGTTTCCACTATGTAAAATGTTTCCACAACTCAGTGGAATTAAGTGTTTGATTTGTTGTTTTTCAACCCTAGAAACCAGCCTAAGACTTTGTACACAGTAGTTCCTTAATGAATGTTAAATTGAATGAAATTGAAAGAGGAAAATAGAAACAGATCAAAGGTTTTCACACACATACAGAGACACAGACACAGACACACAGACACACAGACACACAGACACACACAAAGTTCAACCTATTCCACACATCCAAATAAGGAAAGGGAACTATTAATAGTTTCTTTTAATTACTTTTAGATGCTCTCATAAAAACAATTATGTAGTACTTCTGTACCTCACATGGATAGCTAATAATTCTGAAAAAATAGGTCCTCAATGAATCCAATAAAGTGACCTATGTCAGGAGAAATCAGCAAGAAAATTCTAATCAAAAATCAAAAAGTGATGATAAGAATCCAAACTTGTCCTTTTATAATACTGTAAGAAATAGAATAATTCAGGCTAATGTCTTTATGTAACAGGGGCCCCTGCCGTATTGGAAAGATACCTGGTGAGGACAAACTGGAAAAGCCTTCCCATTAGGAGAATATGTAAGGCAATTCTTCAGGAGAGGGAAGATCTATTTAGAGTTCAAACTCAGAAGTCTGTAGGGTATGTTTAGGGAACTGGCACTGTCTAAGAAGTAAAACTGGCCTGTCCACACACCATACACCATCTCCTCTCTGTGTCTTTGCACTGGTCATTCCTATATGCCTGAAAGTCACATTTAACTAATCTCCACTTCATTGAATTCATTTCTTCCTTCAAGAAGAAGATCAAACATTTCCTAATCTCCTATACTGCTAGTGCCCTTCCAAACTACATTATATTTAACTATTTAGTTTGTATATACTTAAACAATGTGTTCCAAAAGTATTTTTTTTTTTTGCTTAGGCAGTTGGTGTTAAGTGACTTGCCCAGGGTCACACAGCTAGTAAGTGTCAAGTGTCTGTTCTGAGGTCAGATTTGAACTCAGGTCCTCCTGACTTCAGGGCTGGTGCTCTATCTGATGTGGTCTCGAGGTCAGAGGTCCTGGAATCCCAAAATCATGACACCCAGGTCCTGCCCAAAAGAATTTGACCCAAGCCTTCTTGCAGCCAAAAACAAGGTTCATTGAAGATTCGCCATATTGGCTAGACTCTTAAGGAATCTGAGCATCTATGGGCTATTGGCTAGATTCTAAGAATCAGAGCATCTTAATGGAGACAAGATGGACCTTATATACAGAAAGCCTATGGGAGAGATCTAGGAGTGGCCAAGTAGTCTATGAGATAATAGAATTCCAGGGACCTGGACAACACAGCCAACGGAGAATGGAACCTAGCTAGGATTAAGGGTGGGAAATGACCAGGGGCCATAGGGAGGTAAAACAATGGCTAGGGGAGATTGGGTGTAGCCACAATGAAAGGCCAGTTGATGGGATTATAGCCTCAGGGGAATGCCAGATTTGGCCATGTAGGAAAGTTCAGGGTTTTTCCTTTCTGGGGCCCAGATCCCAACCCCATCATATCCACTGCGCCACCTAGCTGCCCCTAAAAGTCTTAATGAAGGCTTAATCTTTGGGGGTACATAATGTATCCCTTTTCATCTCTCCCTTCATTAGAATGTAAGTTCATTGAAAGAAGGATTGTTTCATTCTTTGTCTTTGCACTCCCAAAGCCGAAACAGTGCCTGGCACACAGCAGGCAATTAATAAATACTTGTTGATTGATGCACAATAGGGTTTAAAATGAACATATTAGTTAATGGGAGGATGGGCAGAACTTTGCTTTGCTGCAAGTGATAAAAACAGCTGTAGCTTGAGGACATTGAGGTGGAAAAACAGGTATACTTACGACTCAGGTTTTTAATCAGATATTAATCCAAGTTCAGTGTCGTCCTTTCTGTACTTCCTTTCAATGCATGTTATTTTGTGTTTATTTCATGTGATTGTTATCCAGTTTTACATTCACTTTTCTTTTCTAAGGTATTATGTGATTCAAAAAATATTCCCTCCTGTTCCCCATATTAAAGACCAAGTTAGTGACAGTTTTCACAAATACATGCAGGTAAGTTGTATTGCTAAAATCTTACGATACTAATTTTAAAGGATGTGAGACAAGTGTGTGTGTGTGTGTATGTGTGTGTGTGTGTGAGAGAGAGAGAGAGAGAGAGAGAGAGTGTCATTCTGTCTAAGTTCTCCTATTTCCCAAATTCGAGATTACAGGCCCTAGAAGGTAGTGGAGAACAGATGTGTAGAAATTCTGAAAGCTGTTTGGTGATAGTTTGACTTTGAAGACGTCTCTTATTCACCTTCCAATGAAGAGGTGGGGGGGATATGGGGTGCTCCTAGATGCATAGAGGCACCCCAAGATCGCGGGAGGTTTGGGGCACTGGGAAAAAGGCCCAGATCGCGACATCAAATCTGCCTGAAAGAATTCAACCCAGATCTTCTTCCAGCCAGAGAAAAAGTTTATTGAAGATAAAGCATATAGGCCAGATCACACCCGAGAGAACAAGCGGACTTGAGAATCTCAGCCTCTGGGCAGTGAGAGGTTCTCAGCATCAGAATGGGGGCAAAGATGAATTTTAAGTACAGAAAGATTGTGGGAGGGATCTAGGAGTGGCCCAGTAATTTGGGGTGAGGGGAGACAGGGCCTAGGGAGATCTGGATGGGAGTGGCCAGCAAGCTGGGGTGAACAGAACTCCTGGGTCCAGCTAGATTTAAGGGTGGGAAATGACCAGGAAGGCAAAACAATGGAAGGGAGATTGGGTGTAGCCACAATGAGAGGCAGTTGAAAACGGAAGGTGATAAAGAAAAGGGTCCAGGTGAGAATTTTCATTTGGAATGTCTGAGAGATTTGAACAGACAGTGAGACTAGATAATGAAGGGAACTGGAAGTGGGGGAAGTTTGCTTTCAAAGGGAAATAAGGCAGCTTCCAAAACTTTAAAGTTTTCGTGGACCGGTAGACAAACTGAAGCCAGGTTCTTTTTGGGGCCAGGAAGGAAAGTGCATTTGAATAAGATTAAAAGGTGAGGCCGAGGCTTTGCAAAAGGGCTTAACAATAAAACTATTAGTGAAACTGAATGAAACCCTCTTCACCAAGGCCTTTACCACCTTTCTTAACATAATTGTTTTTTTTTCTTTTAAATTACCTCATCTCATTTCATCATTGCTTACCTCCCTTCCCTATTAGCTTATGTTTTCCTGGACAAACATTAGTGTTCTACGTATGTGATCCTGGGCAAGTCACTAAACTTCATTAGGCCTCAGTGTCTTCATCTACAAATTAAGATAACTTCAGATATTTTAAGTAATTTATTAACTCTTAACAACCTATAACTTTTTCTAGTGAGCTAGCTGCTTTTATCTTCCTACCTCCTGATTTTACATATATTTTTCCATGTCTATCTTATGCTTTTATAGAAAAACAAAATAATATTTATTTAATAGATAAGTAAACTTATGAAGTTGATTGACACACAAAAGAATGTAATCAAATAACCTTTTTGTCTTTTCCTTTCTTTAGGTAGTCTGGGAAGAAAATAAAATACTTCCAGAACAATGTAAAACTGAAGAGATACAGGTCATAGGAAAAAAATCAAACTGTCCATAAAACTAAACAAGATATTTCGTTGGATAATGTTCTTAGAAATTTCTTTTCTATAGAAGGGGAAGGAGATAAGAGAAGGGGGGGGTAATAGAAGGGAGGGCAGATTGAGGGAAAGGGTATTCAGAATGCACACCATCGGGGTAGGGAGAGAGGAGAGATGGGGAGAAAATTTAGAAGTCAAAATCTTGTGAAAGTGAATGCTGAAAACTAAGGATAAATAAATAAATTTTTAAAAAGAAATTTATTTTCTGATCTTTTTTCTTATTTCTATTTTTTTTCCCTTTTCTTCCAAATAATTTTATAGTAACACGTAAGGAGGAATGTTCTGGCAAATATTTAACACCTGGCTCTCTGGGGGGAAAATAATGTAATTAAGACATACTTTTAAGTTAAATCTGCATTATTGACATTTTCTTCACCACTTTATTAATTCTAGACAACCAATAAAACAATAAATCAAACCCAAATTGGTAGTGTTTGCTCATTTCTAAGTTTTAAATGCTTAAACATAAATTTTAACAATCGGTACTCATGAGCCTGTTTGAACTCACTGCAGCACACCTTCAGACATATCCACTTACTTGGGGTTAGACTTTTGGAAACCTCAGTAAGAGAATGTGGTGGCATATCCCCACTTTAGCTAAATTAATTTTTTTCTTTTTTGTCTTTTTTTATTCTGACCTTAAATTCCAAAAGGAAGAAACTACTTCTATGAAGACAGCCGAATACAAAAAGAGGATTGTATAAAAACTGTGAAACTTAATTTCATGTTGCTTGCTTTAAAAAAAAAAAGTATATGTTACTTTCAAAACTGCCCTGCTAGTCTGTGCTTCCTTCTGTATTCTGCTGTGCATTTTTTTTTTTTTTGGAGCTTCTGTGCATTTAAAAGATACTTCAATAGTCCTCTTTTTTCATTGTTATTGCCAATTCTCCCTTTCATCTCTCCCCCTTGCCCAGCCCTTTAAAAACTGAGAGAAAGGAAAATAAAAACCCTCATAATAAATAAGCATAGTCCTTGCCCTACAGGAAAACAGAAGGGGAAGGAGATAAGTGAAGGGAGGGGGTGAGATAGAAGGAAGGACAGATTTGGGGGAAAGGGCATTCAGAATGCAAGCCATCTTGGGGTGAGGGGGGGATGAAATGGGGAGAAAATTTGGAACTCAAAATCTTGTGGAAGTGAATGTTGAAAACTAAAAATAAATAAATTAATAAGAAAAAAAGAAAAAAAGATTTAGAGAACAGAAAAAAAAGAAGAAAAAACAAAAAAAAAAAAATAAGCATAGTCAAACAAAATTAATTCACACAGTGGCCATATCCAAAAATATATATCTTTCTGTATCTTGAGTCCACCATCTCTTTTGTCAGGAGGTGGATAAAATACTTATCATAGGTCTTCTGGACATGGTTAGTAGTTGCATTGATCAGAGTTCTTAAGCCTTTCAAAATTGTTTTTCTTTACAACACTGTCCTTGTATAAATTGTTCTTCTGGTTTTGCTCACTTCACTTATCATCAATTCACATCACCCAGGAATGTCTATAATTGTATCTTTTGTCAGATTTTGTAGAAATATTCCATTATATTCATTTAACATAGTTTGTTCATCCATTCTACAGTTGATTATTGTTTTCCCCTTAAAGTCTAGGTCTTTGTTTTCCCCCCACCCCTTTTAATTTCCCCCTCCAGGATCAAGGACATTTGTGTCCCTTCCCTACCACTATCATGCTCCCTTTTAACCCCTACCATGGCTTGTTTACCTCCTATGTAATTTATTTTCACACCAAACTGTGTGTGCACATATGCGTAACCCTTCTTTGTTTAAGATAAGAGAGTAGTTCATCTGATGCCCCTTCCCCTTTCATCACCTCAGCAAAGGAGACTGAGGAGCATTCAGACAAGTAGAAGAAAAAGGAGAGTGTTTCAACAAGAAGAGGGTAATTCACAGTGTCAAAGGGTACAGAGATTAAGATAAATGAGGAGTGAGAAAAGGCCATTAGATCTGGCAATTAAGAGATCATTAGTAACTTTCAAGAGAACTATTTCAGTTGAATGATGAGGTGGATAGCCAGACTAGTTAAAAACAAAGTCAAAGGAAATAAAGTGGAGACACAATTGTAAATGGCCTCAAGGAGTTTAGCCACAAAAAGGGAGGAAAGGTATAGAACTATCTAGTAGGCTGGGAGGGTCTCTGCAGAACCCTCTCTGTGGCAAAGCATTATTTATAGCTCTCTAATCAATTTTCTATTAAATTCACAACAATACCTTTTTCAAACTTCCAAAAAGTGAGGATTTATTAAGGATTGGGGAGACATAGGTATGTTTATAGGCAGAAAGGAAAAAGACAGTAGACAGGGAGAAATTGAAGATAAATGAGAGAGTGGGGATGACAGAGGAGGCAATCTGCCTGAGAAGTCAGGATGAAATGAGACCACTTGTACAACGAAAAGTGTTTGCCGTGGCAAGAAGGATCACCTCTTCATGTGAGACAAGGGCAAATGAAGAAAGAATTAGCTGAAGACATCTGAGTGATGTCAGATGAGAAGAGGAAATTTTTTGTGAATGGTCTCAATTTTTTTCAGTGAAATATGAGGCAAGGTTCTCAGTTGGGAGGGTGGAGGGATAGGGAGCCACATGGGAGGCTTGAGGAAAGATGAAAAAAAATCTGCAAAAGGTGCTGTGGTGAGTTTAATAGTAAATTGATTAGAGTGTTATAGTGTTTTGCCATAGTGAGGGTCCTGTTGAGGTTACTTAATGTAAATTTATAGTGGACTCAGTCACCCCGGTTTCATGATTTTCTCCAGCTTCATTCAGTAGCATGTAAGACAGAAGACAGTGGATGGTGAGAGTAATCCAAGGCTGAGTCTTGGCAGAACAAGATCCATGATATGACAAGGGAACAAGGAACTGGAGAGAAGAGGACAGTGTACAATTGAGCTGGTTCTCTAAGGGATCAAGATGGGGAAGGGAGGAGAACGTAGCTTGTGCAGGAAAGGTGGCCTGGGAAAGAACTGATGGGTCAGAGAATTAAGAATAATAAAGTAAATAAATAAAATAAAAATGAGAATAAAGAATGGTGTTTGGGATTTCAAGGCAGAGAGTGAAATGGAATGGCAGATTATGAAGAGATAAATTAACTTCAGTGCTCATTAACAAAGAAGAGGAATATTTGTGAGCAATAACAAGATGGAGAGTAAGACAACTATCTCCGTGCAGCTGAGGTTGGGGGCGCCTGGGAAGTATATAATAGGAAATGAGTAAGTTGAGGAACTGTTTGAGATAGAATCAATATGTGTGGTGAAATCCCCTAGTCACACTAGGGCAGGAGTTGGGGAGAAGAGAGATTGACCCAGGCATTGAACTTCTTGAGGAAAGAAAGGAAGTGTCCTGGAAATTGGTAGACAGCGGCTACCAGAATTTTGATTGGGTAGGACATAACCTCAAAAAAGGAGAGGTTACTGGGTGACGGTGGTAGATGGAGAGCCTAGAAGTGGCAGTATAGAGCATGAAGTATTTCAACTCTCCTCACCACCATCACCACTCTTGGAGAGCAATAGGAGTGAAAGTGCAACCAGTGCTGGAAAGTGTGTCCAGGAAAGCTGTGTCATAAGAAGAAAGCTGATTCTTTTTAAGTGCAGGAAGTTGGAAGGAATGAGCAAGGAAAAGGAAGGTTTAAGATGGAAGCAAGATTTTTAAAATTTTTTATTTTGTTTTGACTGCAATTGTTAAATTATCTCTCCTTGCCCAATTTTCAACATTTTTTTTTCTTACTATCAGATACCTTACATTTTCTTTTTTACCAGGTCTAGATTTTATCCTATCTTGTGGAGTCATTGATTTCTCTTTGACCCGTCTTGGTTTTTAGGAAGTTTATTTCTAAGGTTTACCATTTTCTCTTCTAAGCTATTTATTCTTTCAAGTCTTTTGTCCTAAGCTTTCCTTTTATTTTTAATCTCTTGCTTTATTTCTGTTAAATATTCATGCAGTCTTTATAGAAAATCCTTTTCCAGTTGTTACAGAATTACTCCCTCTTTTGAGGCTTCTCCAGATCTACAATAATTTTTTGATACTGGTCAGTTTTTTCTTTTACTCATTTCTCCAGCTTTGGTTCCTGAACCAGGGTTTTGTGCCAGGGCCAGGATCCATGCCCTGCTGGGCTTTCGGGTGGGGTGGCTATCTTACTCTGGGCCCTCTAGGTTTCCATATTCACCTTTACCTCCAAGGGTTAGTACCCAATGGATCTTTGAGTTTCTGAGCACTAGATATTCAAAACCCTCTATGGCCTTTCAGGACAGTGCTGGAGGCCTCAGAACACCCAGATAACTGGGCCATACTATTGTGAGCACTGCCATGTCACTGGTTGCTGCTGCTCTCCGGGTCTTCGAAGGTTGCCACCCTGGGGCTTTCTGCCCCACTCTGAGGTGGAGGAGGTATCTGCTCTTGCTACTCTGCTGGTAGTCCCTTTTCTAATTGCCTTAGGGCTTCCATTCTGCGGTGGAAGTCATTAGTGGCTTCTCAGTGGATGTCTGGATTATTTGAACTAGTGCAAATTTCAGGTTTTTCCTGGAATAGGTATATGGGAGCTAGGTGGTCTGTTATATTGAAATGAGTGCTATACTTGAGGTCAGACCTAAATCTGAACCTTGCCTCACTTGCCTTAACTCAGGTTAGTATGCCTGCCACAAGGCTCTGCCTACTTCATTCCATTCTCCACTCAACTGTCAAAATGATCTTCCTAAAGACCTGGTCTGAACATGTCATCCCTACTCAATTTAACACCAGCGAATCCCTAACAGCTCCAGGAACAAACAAAAAATACTATTTAGCATTCAAAGCCCTTCATAGCCTGTCTCCTATTCCCACTCCACTACTTACCTTTGCAGTCTTCTCACATCTTACTCCCCTATGTACTCTGCAAACCAGTGACACTAGCCTCCTTGCTGTCCCACTGCTTGATTCTGGGCATTTTTCACTGGCTGTCCCCCCATACCTGGAATGCTCACCCTCATCTCTGCCTCATTTCCCTCGCTTCCTTCCAAGTACCAACTAAAATCCCATAGGAAGCCTTTCCTGAATCCCCTTAATTCTAGTCTAGTGCCTTTCCTGTT